AAATGACAGCATAGCTGATTTGGAGAATGTTTCCAGTTTAGCTATTTTGCATTAAATGTGAAATCTCCCTGAATTCTCTTTGAATTCACGATAATTCTCACTTTAGTAAATAACCCTGTAAATAAAACACAATATTTCACCATTGTAAATATTGTTCTGAAAGCCTGTATACATATTGCCCTTGCAAACACAAGTTTATTTCTTATGAAAAACATTATTTAATAACAAAGAAGATTATGCAGTTACAAATAACATTTTACTTAATTAAATGTTCAAACAATATAACGATTGACAGTGTGGATTCAACCAGCTATCCTGAGAGGAGATGAACATATAATGTTTTCTGTAAGTGCAACATTTGTGACATTATAAAACTCACATACAAATATGTTATGACAGACAAGTAGAAAGACTTTCAGGGTTAATCACTAAAATGAGAATTAAAAGTAAATTTCAAACTTAAAGGACCACTATAGGCACCCAGACCACTTCAGCTTAATGAAGTGGTCTGGGTGCCTGGTCCATCAACAAGTATGTTTTCCTGGCACTATAGTGGTCCTTTAATGTCAAAATAGCCAAAATGGAAAAATGCTATAGCTCAGCTATGCTTTCAGTTTGCCTAGTTTATCTAATTTGGCTTTAAGTGTAAAATTTGCTTTGAATTCTCTTAGTGAATAACCCTGACTTAATATGATTTTTAAATCTCAAATTGCACAAATACAGTATTAGATCACATAATGACCATTACACAATGATTACTGTTTACTAACTGATGTCAAATGGCCACACAGGTCATTTTGTTTGGCATTTAAAAACGTTGATATTTATAGTGGCCTGTTAAATTATTTTACATGATTTTTCCACTGGTCATATTCACATCTATATTCTGGTTTGCTAGCTGACAAGCCTGCATTGCACATTCTATAGATATGCCAAAATAAGCCCCGTGGTCAAACTCCCACTCCCACTGAGTGGCATGAGCAGCGACCATATCATACATCAGCCTCAATACATACAAATTAAAAAAATTAACCTGCATACTAGCCCAAACCCCGTTTCATATTTAACTAAATGGAGGTTATTTAGCAACTCCAATGGCACATTAGAAGTGAACTGTTCTAAAAAGTTGTCTAAAGCACTAAGGTTGGGAAAACACAATGGGAACCAATAGAACATACAAGTATATTCCATTGGTAACTCCTTTTGCATTTTGCAGCACTTATTAAAAGAGATTACTTTGATAAATCTCCCTATATATATATATATATATATATATATATATATATATATAATTGCTCTGCATGGCTGTATGCTTGCCAAGCAGATTGTGACCATCTACTGTGCAGGCTGCACTCTGTGACCCTACTGTGTTAAGATTGTTCCTTTATGGTATGTCTATAGTTTGGACTATAAGGTAGTTTACAAAATGCTGAACAAATTTAAAAATGCTTTCATTAACACCACAATAAAGTAAAATGCCCTTTGTGACTTTCCCAAATTTCAGATCTAAACTTTAATAAACCTTTAAGTGAAGTTGTTAAGCAAATGGTGTACCCACATATGCAGGCTTTTGTGACATGATTCCTTGATGAACTGAATCAGTTGTAAGGAAAACAGGTCTAATCCTTGTCAGATCCTTGCCATATAATGGTTTCCTTTATTTTGTCTACAACTTTTACAATCTTCCAATGGGGAAAGACACATTAGCTCATCAGTGGCCTCTCTATCAATGGAGATACTCAGGTACATAAGCCTTTCTTCTGCTGGGCAGCAACACAAAAGCAGTAAAGACAAGAAGAGTGATATGTTATTGTTTCTATGATCTACTGATTCTATAGTTTTACTATTTGAGCTTATGTTTACTGGTTATGTAAGCTGAATACAATGGACATATTCTTGGATTAACACAAGACCATTGTGGGAAGCAGAAGGATGCATCAACACAGGGCCACCATCAGGGCATGACAACCATAACAGTTGTCATGGGCCCGGCGGTCCTGGGGAGCCCAGACTGCTCTGGCAGTCTGAGCCCCACATTCCTTATGTGCACATATATATAGCAATTTTCGCTATATATCTGTGCACTGAGGGCCCTCCCTACCTGTAAATTGCAGAAGGGGGCCCAGAAGCACACTCTGTCCTCCTTCCAGCTCCTCTCTTTCTAACTCTCCTGCGGCCGCCAGAGCATTGCCATGGGTTACCATGGCAACGCTCCACACAGCACGCAGGCCGGTCTCACGAGAGTTCGTCAGAGAGGAGCTGGAAAGGAAGACAGTGTGTGCTGCTGGGCCCCCTCTCCGATGTACCACGCTGGCTCCATCCACCATGCCACTGGACCACCAGGGAATGCGATCTCCCCCCTCCCTGGAAAGGTAAGAACCAGGAAGGGGGAATAAAATATATATTTTTTAAATACTCCCCCTACTTTACACAAACACTGCATCCTTAAAAGCACACACACACTACATTCACTAAACACACTCTGCACTAAGCACACTCTGCACTACACTGCACTACACACACTCACACTACATTCACTAAACACACTCACACTACATTCACTAAACACACTTTGCACTACACACACACTACATTCACTAAACACACACACTACACACACACTACATTCACTAAACACACCACTACATTCACTAAACACTCTTCACTACACACACACTACATTCATTATACACACTTTGCACTCACTACAAACACTGCATTCACTATACACACTCTGCATTCACCACAATCACACTACATTTACCATACACAGTTTGCATTCCCCACAATCACACTACATTCACCATACACATTTTGCATTCACTACAATCACACTACATTCACATACACATTTTGCATTCACTACAATCACACTACATGAACTATACACATTTTGCATTCACTACAATCACACTACATGAACTATACACATTTTGCTCTCACTACAATCACTATACACATATTGCATTCACCACAATCACACTAAATGCACTATACACACGTTGCACTCACTACATACACACTACATCCACTACAAAAATACACACTGCATTCACTGTACACACTACATCCACTACAAAAACACACACTCTCCATTCACTGTACACACATTACATCCACTACAAAAACACACACTCTCCATTCACTGTACACACACTACATCCACTACACAAACACACACTCTGACTTCACTATACACACCTACATTCACTACACACACTCTCTGCATCTAATGCATGCATACAAACATTACATACATTACACAAAACGTACAATCTGCATCCACTATACACACTGCATCCATGACACACATACCATATCCACTACACACATTCTACATCCACTATACACACTGCATCCATGACACACATTCTACATCCACTATACACACACACACACACACACACACACACACTTCATCCTTGTGGGCGGACTCTGGACTGGCCCAGGGGGCCCAGATCTTGAGCTGTGTCAGGGGCCCTAAAATTTCTGATGGCAGCCCTGCATGTACATCCCGCAGTCCTTACAAAGAAGCAAAAAATATACATTTATTGTCAATTTTGATAACACATTCTATATATTAATTCACATGAACGTATAAAATATAATTTGCCATCTACAGCCATTGTTTGCATGTTTACTATAAATAAAATCAGATAATTTGTTACATATTTAGTCTGATCTAAGATTTTAACAGTTTTTGCCATTCTTTAAATAAAAAAATAAATCTCATTGCAGACTTCTAATTATTCCTATTGGAGATACTGCTAGATACATCAGCAGATATTTTTCTTGGTGGAGACAGTTGATAAACTGGAACTCCTATAATTCATTACATAAAATAATTTACTGAACGGAGAAAAGATTTTGGATATGCAGTAAAGTATTTTATCTGTTTCTGCTGGATTTTTTTTACTTGTCACAACCTCCTTCAGAATTCTTTTTTACTTATCAAGATTTTATTTTATCAAGTATGTGACAGATTGGAAAGGTCAACAAAGCAAATAGAGACTCGCGGGTCTCTAAAATAACAATAAACAAACCTTTGGTCACGCAGGACCTATGCATATGCGTTAACATCATATATATACATTTTTGGTTATGAGTCACGGTTATATTGTGCATTGTATGGCTCAATTTCTGGGCTTAGTCTGTTACTCTCTATAATGTTAAGTACAGTTAAACAGTGTGTATGTGTGTAGGTGAGTGTTGTTTCTCTGGATGTCTTCCAACTTAGCCATCCCTGCTGGTACGTTTATTTGTATTCGTTCACGTACTTGTGTTTTGGGCAGCAGCATCAAGTCAGTGGACACCAGGGATTTTCGTAACCCTAATGCAGTATTTTGTGATGATTCTTCCTTGGTGTCTATGTGTTTTCTATTGCATGGGACTGTCAGTTCTCCACTTCTCATCTCAATGTATGTAGGCACCTGGGTCAAGCTATTCTGTTAATGTTTCTATGTAAATGTGTCCAGGGCTCCCTGGCTTGTTTTTCACTTCTCTTGGGCATAAAGTAGTGTGCCATTTGTTACAGAAAAGGGATGTTCCCTTATCTTGGGTATTAAGTTTCATACGATAATGGGCTATGTTCTCACAGTGCGACAGTTGGTATGTAAGCCATCCCGTATCTTGGGTGTCCCCCCGAGATGTCCCCCCCTCTCTCTGATCCACACAGCTGCCACCTTTCTGAGATATCGGTACAGTGGCGTCCCACTTTTGTGAGTACCCTTACTCTGTTTGTATAGACGTAATTCTGAAGTATTACATCTTGAGGTGTACTGGGATATGAGTGTGATGCGGTATGTGGATGTGTGAGTTGGAATACAGATAATAAGAAACTCAAACCAGGTCCCAGTGTGCCCGCCCCCACTCCAGCCACTTCCCTCAGTCTTCTGTCCATGTCTAGTCATCAGTGCTCATCTGCGTGAGGTATAAATACCAGAGTCTCCATTGATCAGTGTGTTTGTCTCCTCGTCCTAGTAAATACACTATTTTAGTGTATTTATCCCACTTTTTGTAGCCATTGGCTAGTGGTTGGGGGTTGTTTTTGTTTCCAGTGTACTGGTATCAGTGATTTGGCTGTGTTGAGCAAGTGTATGAGGATCATTTTCTTGTAGGTGCTGAGCGGGAGCTCCGATTCTGGAGAAGAGCGGTCTCTATGGCATTTCTCCCAATATCACCTGTGTCATCAGTTCAATCTCACTGCAGTACAGTTTTATTTTAGCACAGTCCCACCAAATGTGGTGTAGTGTCCCGCTCTCCATTTCGCATCTCCAGCAGGTGTATTGTATGGTTGGGAAGATGTGATGTAGTAATGACGGTGTGCGGTACCAGTTGGGAATAAACTTATAGTTTACCTCCTGATAATGAGAGTGCATGGAGCTTTTATGTTGCAAGTGTAGTATTCTCTACCATTGGGCCTCAGAGAAGGTGCGGGCCATCAAGTCATCCCACTCTCTCTTAAAGGTGTCTTTGCTCGACCGTTCTCCTACTATGAGTCATTGGTAGATTATGGATACTGTGCACTCCGCATACGGCGTCTGTTAGCAAAGTTCCTCATACCAGGTCAAGTCCCGGTGGACCTTTTGTTTGTGTGAGATATTATGATTGAAATGTGTTAGCTGAGCATATAGGAATTGGACCATCAGCATTGGCGCTCCCTCCGTCATAAGGTCCCACAAGGTTCTCACCCCAGATCTGTGGAGCACCTGATGTAGGAGTATATACCCCTCCTGATTGGCTAGTTGACATACCGATGACTGAGTTGTGGGTTATGGGAATCAGGGGGCTAGGTTTTGGGGATATGTAAGATTCCTTCCTTAGAGTGATCCATGTCTTGAGCATTTGTGCTATGGTGTAGATCTCCCCTCGGGTGTTCATAGCATCTGAGTGTCTATGCCATATAAGCATGTGGAGGGAGTTATTGACTGAGGCTCTGCCCAGCATTATCCATAGCTTTTGAGTCGATGATGTATGCAATTCCTGGAGTCTCTGGAGCCTGGTAATATTTTAAAAAATCAGGTAGTGCAGTTGGGCACATTCCTCTGCCGGGGTAGTTACGTTCAGTATGTCACATTTAGTGAGGTTTAGTTTGAGTCTGGAGAGGTATCTGTATGTTTGGAATTCATTCATTAGCGGCGTTATTGTTTTGAGTGGGTTGTTGATAAAAAACAGCTTCTCATCCGCATGGCTACCTTGTGTTCTTGGGTTTTATATCGAAATCCCGATATAGATGTTTTTTTCTTGATTCGGTTTAGGAATGGCTCTAGTGTTATTGCATAGAGTAGTGGTGAAAGTGGGCATCCTTGCCTGGTGCCGTTTCCTATGATGAAGCTGTCCGTGAGAGCTCCGATTACTTGGACCCGAGCGCTCGGATTGTAGTAGAGTGCACTTATCCAGGTGAGCAGCCCTTCACCTAATCCGACCTTGTGTAATTTTGCCATCATGAAGTGCCAATCCACCCGATCAAATGCCTTTTCGCCGTCAGTGGAAAGTAGGAGCAACTTTTTGCCTTCCCATTTTGCTAGGTGCTGAATCATAAACAGTCGTAAGGTGCAGTCCCTCGCTTTCACACCTGGGATGAAGCCTGTCTGGTCTGGATGTATCAGTCTAGACATCAAGGTTTGCATCCTCTTCACTAAGAAAATTTTCACATCTGCGTTGTAGAGGCAGATTGGGCGATAGTTTCTGCTATTTTCTGGGTTTTTGACAGGTTTGGGAAGTACCGTGATCGTGGCTGCCAAGGATTCCTTGTGGAATGAGGCTCCATCTCGTAGTTGACTTAACGCCTTCATGAGCTTCAGTATTAGTATCTCCTCAAATTTCTTGAGGTACCCTACTGGAAGGCCGTCTGGTCCCAGAGTCTTACCATTCTTTGCAGATTTTCGTGCCTCTCGGATTTTCTCTTCAGGAATGGGGGCATCCAGTGCTGTACCTTCCACCTTTCTCTCTGTGTATTCATGTTTTGTGGTATGGGTGGATCCAGTCGCATAGTCATTTATGTCATATAGGTTTTCATAATACGACTGAAATTCATTTGCTATGTCTATTGGAAATTGTGTCAGTTTGCCCTGTGATGTGCGCAGTGCGTGGACTTGGGCTCCAGTCTGCGGACCTTTTAACATCCGTGTCAACAACTTCCCACTTTTGTTGGCATGGATATATAAGAAAGACTTTGAGCGTTGCATGGTTCTGATGTGTTTACGGTCTATGAGGTCTATGAGGTCTGCCAGTTTGCAGCGATAGTAATTTCCAATAAGTCTGATCTTGTTGGGTTATTTTATGTAACGTTTCCAAGCCTGTAATTTTGCCTGTAAGGTCTTCTATCTGTTGTCTGGTCTCTTTCTCTTTCCGAGTGGTTAACCTGATGAAGTGCCCTCAGATTACACTTTTTTTTTTTTTTATTCTTTATTTTTCAATTTTGTAAATTTGGCATAAACATTAAGACAAACGTCATAGCATACCGGCTCGTGCAAAAGCCTGTAGTACATGTCGTGCAATTCAACTTTGTTATACATTATGTCGTTCAGTACATTATCCTTTTACTCAGCTCTTTTCTACTGTCAACCAAGGTGTGTTTTTTAGGAGAGCACACTCAAGATAGCAATAACCGGCTGCCGTTTCGCCCTTCCACCAAGGAAAAGAAAGACATTTAGAAAGAGATGGGGGGCACTGGAGCGCGCGGCGGGGAACAGGGATGGCCGGTCCTTAACGCTTGTGACTGTGTTGCATTCCTATTGGTTCTGTCTATGGCGACTGTCTATCTTGTCTCCTGGCTCCTCATGGGACTCCTCTCACTCACCTCCCTGTCCCAGTGGGCTGCTATCCCAGGGTTCACATATTTTTTGAAACGCTACTGTGGTGCCCTTCACCCTAGCTGTTAGGTCATCCATTAGTCTGCTATCTTTGATCTTAGAAAATATTTCGGTAAAGCTCGGCCCCTCCGGCGCCAACCACGCTGTTGCTATCACTCTACGTGCACTTAATGTGATCTTGTGCAATAGTTTTTGCTTCAGCCTAGTCCACCCCTCTAGAGACCTATTCAGGAGGTAGACCCAAGGGTCCATAGCTGGTGATCTAAGGAAGATCTGTCGCACTAAGTTCTCGACCGATTTCCAAAATCTATTTATGGTTGGGCATTCCCACCACATATGTATGTACGTTCTTCTACTACCGCACCCCCTCCAGCAGTCATCTGTGTTTATTTTATGCATTCTTAAAAGCTTCACTGGGGTGGTGTACCATCGGAACATGGTTTTCCATGCCTGCTCCTGAAGTGTCACGCACATTGATGTATTTTTGTTTGTTTCCCAGGTTTCCTGCCATTCAATTCCTTCCAGGACCTCGCCAAGGTATTGCTCCCACTGGTCTGTGTAGTCGGATTACACTTTTATGCGCTTCCCATAACGTCATGTCAGACATCTCTTTGGTTGTGTTTTCCTCAAATATTGTGTTATGTTGGTGGTGATTTGGTCTTGCATTTGTATGTCCATTAGGAGTGACTCGTTTAGCCTCCACACTGTTCTCATCGGGTGGTACAAAGGTGAGTTCATAGATAGTGTAGTGGAGCAGTGGTCTGACCACGACGTGGTTAGTATATCCACCTTCTACAGGTGCTTTAGACCTTCCTCTTGAATTAATATGTAGTCAATACGGGAAAACCTGTTATGTAAGGTTGAATAGTATGTATAATCCCTGTCATCTGGATGTAGAGCTTTCCATATACACTGCCGAGGCAGTGTTATGCTCTGGGCAATGTTTTTCTGGGAAACCTTGGGTCCTGGCATTCATGTGGATGTTACTTTAACACATACCACCTACATAGATATTGTTACAGACTATGTACACCCCTTCATGGCAAAGATATAGCATCTGTGGGATTTTTCAGCGCCTTATGAATGGTTCGGATTGCCGAGGGTGGGATACCACTGTGTCCAGTGGAGGTGTCAACTATGGGATCCAGGGGGATATTAAAATCATCACTAGGATCCCTTCCCAGCAATACCAACAGTTGTGTCCCTTTTTAGCCGGACTGACACCAACTCTAGTGAAGATCACGGCAGACTTACACACTTGGAACCAGAGACCGTGCAGGTAAGGCATAGGGTGAAGATTGGCCTGCAGAAGTGCACTCATTATAAGAGATGGCTCCTGCACAGTAATACTCACTACAAGCTAAGCTGACCTCCTCAATACATGCACAATATACAAAGCTAGGCTCACCTAAAACACATAGGCTTTAGCCTATGTTTAGCTTTCTCCACAGGGTTACTGACCTTCCCAAGTTATACTCAATATATATTGTAAAAGGTATTCTGCCTTCTTTCCTCACGTGACGCTATCAACCTACTTTCACACTCGTTTTCATGGTTAAGTCACAAGGCCGAGAGAAAGCTGTAGATTGTTTTATTAGTTAACGGTTAAGGTGGTGGACTCTAATGTTTGATCTGCGGCCTCTGTTATCCAGGTCCTCATTCTGGTGTCTGAGGTTAAACAGCATGTTGTCATGTCTTGTGAGAGAGGGTTGGATGCCTCAATTTGGTCTGCCATTGCTTGCATTGTAGTTTCTATAGCTTGTATGCCGCCACCATGTGCTGCGATGTTACCCCTCAGAGTGGCTACCTTGGTGTGGATCGCCTTGTGTATGGTTTCCAAAACCGTTTCCAGGTCTGTTTTGGTGACCATGGCGCTGGATAGTGCTCTAATGTCGGCACTGATGTCGGACAATGAGGGCGATGGTGCATCTTAGGCCGGCGATGGGACAGGAGTGTCGGACATTATGGGGCCTGTAGGTTCACGGGACTGTCCTGCCGGTGTGTGAAGGAAGCCGTGCATCGGTCCAGCCTGTGAGCTTCCTGGTGGTCTTTCGAGGTTTGGTGGGTGTCAGGGCGTTTTGTGTAACCCATTTGTGTGCCTCTTTATGCATTGAAGTTAAGCAGCCATCTTTATCGGAGTCCAGGCAAGGCCTCCCCTTCTCCTTCAGAATTTAACAACATTGAGTGAAGTCTTTCCAATGTGAACTCTACCTTTTCAAAGAAAAAGCAGTGTTTACATTGCTGCTTAATGCCAACTCTAGTGGCAGTCACTCTGACAGCCAAAAGAGACACTTCCTAGATGCGGTCCTGGAAAGATTGCAGGACCAACATTCAGCATCTGCACTCCCACAGAGATGCATTGACTCAATGTGGAGATGAGATGAAGATGATATGATGATTGGGGAAGCATGGCAAATGGAACAGCACAGTAGTTGCACAGTAGGCTCCCACTAGGCTCTTAAATGCTTTCCTATTGTAATCAGCCACAACATTAAAACCACCGGCAGGTGATATGAATTACATTGATTATATCATTACAATGGCACGTGTTAGGGGTGGGATATAATAGTCAGGAAGTGAACAGCCATGTCTTGAATTTCATGTGTTGGAAGCAGGAAAAATGGGCAAGCAAAAATATCTGAGTGACTTTCACCGGGGCTAAATGGTGAAGGCTAGGCAACTGGGTCAGAGCATCTCTAAAATTGCAACTCTTGTGCGTTGTTCCCAGTATGCAGTGGTTAATATCTACCAAAATTGGTGTAAGGAAGGACAATCAGTGAACCAGTATCAGGGTCATGGGTCATGGGTCATGGATGCCCAAGGCTCATAGATACATGTGAGGAGTGAAGACTAGCCCATCTGGTCCAATCACACAGAAGAGATCTGGAGCTCATACTGCTGAAAAATGTAATGCTCTCCATGACAGAAAGGTGTCAGAACACACAGTGCATCACAGTTTGCAGAAATATTCAGCTGTGTAGTCACAGACCAATCAGAGTGCCCATCATGACCCCTATCCACTGCCGAACTTGTCTTTAATGGTGAGCATCAGAACTCGACCATGGAGCAATGGAAGAAGGTTGCCTAATCTGATGAATCATGTTTATGTTTAGATAAGTTGGATGGCCGTGTGCATGAACATCCTTTACCTGGGCACGAGATGGCAGCAGGATGCATTATGGGAAGAAAGCTGGATGGCTGAGGCAGTGTTATGCTCTGGGCAATGTTTTTCTGGGAAACCTTGGGTCCTGGCATTCATGTGGATGTTACTTTAACACATACCACCTACATAGATATTGTTACAGACTATGTACACCCCTTCATGGCAAAGATATAGCATCTGTGGGATTTGCTGCTAATTTATTGGTGTCAAATGCCACAGGATATGTCCAGAGACTTTGTGGAGTCCACGTCTTGATCCATCAGAACTGTTTTGTCAGCACAAGGGACCTACATGATATTAGGCAGGTGGTTTAAATGTTGTGACTGATCAGTTAAGTATTGATGATCTCTGTCAAGGAGTAGTGGTGACATGTTTGTTTTTCTAACGTTCATTTAAAGGAATACTCCAAACTTTTCATCAGTCTTATTTTCAACTAGAAAGACATTATACCTTTAGCTTCTAGTATAGAATTATAAAAGTGATTTGCAGAAATTAGAAACCTATGCTTCTGCTGGTGTAGATACAGTAGTAACTGTGCCTTGCAAGTTATTGTGTCATTGTAAAATGCCTCAGGTCAGAAACGGTTGGGAACCACTGGTCTGTTATCTGTGTGGATATGGTCTGTTATGTAATATATATTTTGTGGATAGGGGCTGTTTTGGTGTATTGCATGTGGATATTGGCTGTATGTGGAGTTTTGTATAAAGGTGTGAATAGGTGCTGTTTGTGGTGTTTTGATGGGGCTTGATGTGTGTGCATTTGTCCAATTTACCCTATAGCCATCCTGGCTCTGTATATTCCAATTCCTCTGAATGAGCAAGGAGACTGTGCAAATTCTATCACTGCAGCATTCCCAGAAATGTGTAATCTAAGTATTAAAATGTATTGTGTTCTTGCAAATCACCACACTTGTTTGCTAACTTGCATGGGGTAGGACTCTCCAGGTGGCAATATTTAGGTAAAATACAATAACTTGGGTTTTCTCCAGGTAGCATACAGCTGCGCTTTCTATAGTTGCTAAAAGCAGAAGATATTTGCTGGCAAAATGTGTACTGTCAGATTTTGAAAAGTATGAAGATGGCTTATGCTAAGTTCTTACAAACATGATATCATGTAGAGAATAAATTCTACTAACTCTTTTTAGACCCCAATTTTGCACCGTTGTACTGAGTCAAAGTTTAGAACATTTGGATATAAATAAGTTTCAATTAACTATACCAAAGAATTGTTTTATTAATGTTTATATTCTTCTGATAATAGTTAGTACAATCAAAAATGATAAGCACACTGTCACAGTGTATACTGCATATAGTTATTTAATAGTAGATATTTGCAAGTTGGGCAAGAATTTGTGGTAAGTGTGCATGGACTACAATGAGAAACCAACTGGGTCTAAAGTGGCTTTTAGTATTCCTGATTACTTTGTGCACAAAAAAATGTCAAAATATAACAGAGCAGGTAACATTGTGGCCAGATCTAGGAGTAGTCATACTTTTAAATTCCTCTTTGTATAAAATCATCCTTTTCATCTGGCCAGCGAAATATAAATGAACATGCACATTTTTGTCAATGTTTTATTTGGAGACCAGAAGCACCAATGCTTTCTTATTACATATGCATAACATGTGTTTAAGACTAGAAAATGAATACAATTTCAGAATTTGTTGGCGCTATATTAATGCTTGTATTAATTAATGCCACTAATAATAACATGCTTATAACCTATAAGTTTGCAATAAAGATTACACACAGCAATATTTTTAGAGAGGTAACACATGTCAGGCCTACCCCTGTCTGTGAATAGATATGGACAGGGCAAGTCTTAGGAATCACATTCATTAAACACACTCTATAACAAGAATATGACCCTATTTTTCCACATTGCACAGACTGATCTCTGTTTGCCACAATGTCATATACCTCACAGAAAGTAACTATGTGTTCCCTGAAACAAATTAAGTTATTTTTAATTAACAAATGTATTGGTACTGGGAACTTGTACACTATGAATGGTTATATATTGTTTATTACATTGAAAATGTCTTAGAACCTGTTAAAAGATTTAATCTACTACAGAAAGTAAAGTGGAAGTTTATAACACTTGGTAGATGACCATCCCCTTCCATAAATGCCATGCTTTCACCAAATTAAATCTATTATACTTTGATTTATATTTATTATCTCTGGTTTATGCATGATGTTTGTAAATATAATTCTTGAAATCTAGACTCTGTCACTTATTTATTTAGCATTTTTATTTATCAAAAATATATATACTTAAGAAGGTTGAACTTGATAGATGTTTATCTTCATTCAAAATGATTTTGACCTTTTAATAGTATACCACAGGGGCTTACCAAATTGTAGTGAATTGAAAACTGAATTTAGCCAAAATATAACCTAAAATAACCATGCTGTGAGTTGGCCAAGTCTTCAAAATAAGCAAATTTATTCTTAAATTTTGCAAAGCAGTTTTCAAATCCTTATAATTATGCATTTAGTGAATAAAACTCTATATTATGTTATGGACTCTAATACAGGAGGGCCTCGTTAATACTTAGAATACATTTAGAGCAACTTCTGAAAGCTGTGAAGTTCATTCATAATGAGCTTTATTAAGAGCAAGACTAACCATAAGGCCCTGGACAGGGGCCCTGAACAATGATTTTGCTTGGCACCATTAGCCATCCTTCTGTGAAAAAAGAAGGGGGTGGAACTGACAAGATGCCTAAGGCCATGTGGAATTGTAATCCAACTCTGGCTTTAATAGGGGAAAGTTTTAAACTTTCAGTAATCACCATGAGTTTATTAAAGAGTTCTTAAATAATTTGAAAAACGTATCCACAAATCTTAAATTGAGGTTTATGTGAGATAAGATGCATTGAATTAAGAAATGACTCATTGTTATTCGTTTGAGTATTTTATTATATTGTAAAATAAATCTGTTTACACACAAAATATAGAAAGTAGGTCTTGTATACATTTATAATTCATCTTAGTAGTGAGATTTCCACAAGGTAAAGTATAAGATAAAATGGGTCTTTTAACCACTTAAGGACATGTGTGACATGTCATGATTCCCTTTTATTCCAGAAGTTTGGTCCTTAAGGGGTTAAAGGTAGCAGATACTAACACTTCTATAATGAGAGTTATTGACAACCATATATTTTACATTTTCAATAAAGTGCAATATCGGTTATTGATTTTTTTGTTTTCAAATCTATTTGGAATTGAAAAGATTTTTTCAGGAAGGGGTTGACAATATTTGAAATTAGACAAATAAGTCTGAAGACAGAGATAAACATTTAAAGGAGAAAGCTTTACACATAAAAAAGGAGATATATGATCAGTGAAGTATAAGTATAAACCACAATCTATCTTCAGAGATCATAAACAATGTTTTCTTTTCAGTAATACAACTATGTTATTATAGTATGCTTGAAACTGAGTGGAATGAATTATACCGTATTAACTTTACATTATGTATATTTACAGCAAGTCTATTTAGAAATTAATTATTTGATGAGGAAGAAGAGACGATAACACTTTCAGTATTGATTGTTGTTCCCAGGTCACGTAAAATCATACCCTGTTAGGAGACAAAATGGGACATTTAGTGATATTATTAATTGATTATGATACAAGAAAAACTAGGACAGAATCCGGGAGAAAGAAAGAAAGAAAGAGAGAAAGAAAGAGAGAAAGAAAGAAAGAACTGAAAGAAAGACAGATACATGCAATCAATCAATCTGTCTGTTGATTAATCTGTCAATCTATCTCTAGCTATTGAGTGTCATTTTGATGTGTATATGGATATTCTGTATTTGGATATTGATCATTTATCTCATATAGCTACTTTGTAATAATAATAATAATTTATTCAAGATTGTAATCAATGACAGAAACGTGCAATCCACCTTTTGATAGTAGTGGAGAAAGATAATGTTAAGCTAATTGCATATAGCACATTGGTTTTTATTTCATGTCACTTAATTCTTAAACTTAAACTATCTAATGATTATGTGAACACCAGAATGAAAATTATAAACTATAATAATATGTGCATAATGTGAGTTAATCCTACTTACCTTACGATGACCAAAGTCGTAGGGTTATGATCATATTGAATACTATGGCTTTGACTGTCAGCAGTCTCAGTCCAAGCACTGTGAGAGATGTTGTGTTTATTCTTTCATCTGTAATAAAAGACATTGATTAGAATTTCAGTGAATACTATAAAGTACAAAAACACATTATCCTGCACTAAAATATTTCTCATTTGAAATTAATAAAATATAGTTTATATCTTAGTGCAACAACATTACTGAACAGAAATTGAAAAGCCTTAACAGAAGAGAAGCAGTGATTGCAGTGTTCATACTAGTGTAGTATGTCGATCATATAAAATAATTTAATGTTTACATAATTAATTATAAAATCATAAATAGAGTGAGAAGCAAAATATACCACAAATATGATATTTATTAATATACAGATCTAGTGGCACATCATCACTATTGCTACTCCAAAAGTTCTGGCATTGCTGTTTTTTATGGGACTGGAGTTATGTAGGAGGCCAAATAATTATGGTGTGTCAAACCATAATTAAGCAGTAAAATTGACACCGGGCCCATTTATTCAGTTATACGATATCAGGTCTATAATTTTTTTTGTCCCTTTCTAGTTAGTGAATGTAATATTTTAGCAAGGTGGAATTAAATTAGTGGGGAAAAAAGCAATTTTCCTGCAGAATAATGTCAAATATAGAAATCATGTGAGCAATGGTGTAAAAAGGCACCTTTCACAATCAAAACTAACTTTTTGGTGTTCATAGGGATGTCTAGCAGATCACTAGTGGAATGTTTAGCCTCGTATTCTACTGAGACACATTGCATAATGTCACAGGTTTTACTGTTTAAAATATATACTTGCCATCTGCTCTTCCTCTACCTTGTTATATTGGTGGCTTGTCTCCTATTGGTGGCTTACACTTATTGGCTGTGCTACTCTGACCTGCTATTGCTGAGGGTATCTGAGCTGTCTTTGAGCTGTACACTTTAATTGGCTGTTTCCAACAAAGCCTTATGTGGCTTAACTAACATCACATTTAACACATATATTTACAAATACATGGCATAGCAGTAAGACTAAGAGAAACACAAATCCTTTTTATATTGGCTGCATCTCTAAACCTCAGGGTTTTGTTTTATCCCTATATCTTAAATATATTTAGCTTACCTGTTTCAAAGTAATCTTGATTTGATGATTCAGAACATTTGTCTATATCATTATCTGAAAGAAAAAAAACAATTTCGCAAATTAATGAGTAAATAAAAAAAGCTAAATAAAATAAATGCAGATGTGAAAATAATCAGATTTATTCACAAAAGTGAGAACTGATAGGAATCTGAAGTGAATTTAATAATTTAAGCCAAAATAGATGATTTAAAAAAAATATTTGATTCTGTGTTTAGTTTACTATTTTGGCCCTACTTTTAAATTCTCTTTGAACTCCTGGCAATTCTCACAGTAGTGAATAACCTTGTATATGTTTATAGATAATAAGCTATTATCATGTGAAAAATCTATAATCATAACTGTCTTTTAAATAATATTGTTTGTATTCATTTTTACAAGCTGAATAAGCTAGTTGAAGCATTAAAAGCCATGTACTTGGCTTTAATTACCTCTACATAATTTGTTGTTAATATACACATTTATTTTTTCCAAATACTAGGTCTATTAAATTGTGCTTTGATATAAAAAAAAAGTACTATTTAGTAAAAATTGATGACTGAAAAGTGATGAAAGCAATAGTAGACACTATTGGGCACTCTCACAGTAAATTATGAATAATTTCAAAACAAACTAAAACATGTTATCAGGATAAAACTGGTATAATATTGAACTAGATGACCTTCATGTATACAGTATGAATGATACAGTAAAAAAATAATAAACATAAAATAAAAATATCTAGTTATATATAGGTAGTAATGACTAATGTGCATCCAAAATGATATACCTGCTTGGGTTTGTAGCTGGCCATCATTGTATTTGACATTGCACTTAGGTTCATCTAATGGTTTATTATCCCAAAAAATAGAACCATATCTCCACTCCTGTCCAGAACTGTCCAGCAACAATGTATCATTCAGTTCTCTTTCAGATTGTTCATCATATTGATATCCGCTTATTGATCCAATGTAAGATGGAAAATCAGTGACCAGACACACAGAACTTGGTAGCTCTCCTGTATTTTCGTTTGATTTCAAAATGTAGACAGAAGGAGTCGTATGTTCAGGAATTTCTGTGAAAACAAATGAACACCAGGTTAAGACATTCAACTTTTAATATTCATTGTCAATACGTTATTGCTATTATAAAGCAAGCACATTTGGCTGTTGATTTCCCAGTGTGGGAATGTTAATATAAATGCACAAATTGGCAATTGAGCGATTTTTCAAGTACATTTCCTATGTGTTTAATTCAATCTTAATTCCTTGATTTAAAATTTTTTGATGAGCTATAAAAAGGATTTAATATTGTTTAAATAAGCTTTTAAAATTATTTAACATTTGCAAAAATATTTTAAATTTTTTTTGCTGTATTGATATTTTTTAAATACATTTTGTATTTTTTTTTTAATATTTAGCAAAATCATTTGAAGATGTATTCAAAAATACTGAATCATTCTAAAAAGCCTACCCAAATAAATAAATACATAAATAAATGGAGGCCTAACTCCCTAATAAAATCAGTTTGGTTATATTTCAAACAACATGTATAAACATAAAATACATTTTACAAATAACAGCCTTTATGACCAATTGAACAATAACAATATTCTTGCCTAGCTACCAAAGAACCTTTTGGGGTTATTTACTGAGTGTGATTTTGTTGAGAATTCAAAATGACTTTTGTAATTTAGGCTAAAATAGATGATCTAAAAACATAGCTGATTTGGACATTTTTTTCCCATTGTGTTAATTTAGTTTAAAAACTGGAATTTACTATGAGTTCCCATATTCACACTTTTATGAATAACCCTATTTGTGTTGATTCTCCCAAACAGTCTCACATAACACACTTCCTTTGCAACAAATGTGGACATCACATTAAAGGCATTGTATGGTACCATGCTTCTGACATCTATGAAGTCAATGGAGTACTTATTGTATATTAGTTTGTTCAACCCTGTTCCATAACTCACACAGTAATATATTATAACACATGAAACTAACTCCTCTCATCATAACTGCTGTCTTCTGCTCTGCAGAACCTACAAAGAATGTGAATAACATGGTTTCTTCACAAACTGCTGCATATAAATACCTAACTAGGGTGGTCAATTGAAAAATTAGAGTTGGAGAATGATAATTTAAAATAATGCTTTTCTATAATAACTAATTTTGAAGCAATATTATAAAAGTGGAGCATTAAGCAGGAATATTATACCATTTTCATGGCAATTACTCCACTATTAAGTCAGCAAACATTGGTGTTACTTACCGAACTATATTCTAGATCCATAAGAAATAAGTTCCACAGGTTTAGAAAATCTTGCATAAATAGTAAAGGGCTCTCATATTTTTTTTATATAAATGTATATTTTAATAATGGGAATCTTGTAAAATTTTAATTTGTACTTTGAAACATAGTTTAGCAAGGAATGCACATTCACCTCTGTATACAATGGTGGCAAAGCTGGCAAAATCACAAGATATCCATTACTGCCAAAACAAAGAGCAACACTGGAACTAAAGTAACTATAAGGAATGAAAGCCCATTTTTCTTTCCATCATACTTTCAAATAGGCTTTTTTGGAATCGATGACATGGTATGAAAACAAACAAAACAATTGATATTTACTGCAACAAGAAAAAATATGAGATCCTGATAGGAATAAAAGAGGAAATATCCCTATTGAAGTTTAAAGATCGGATTTTGGAATGTAAGTGCTTTTCTTTGACACTCAACCTGTGTGCAAACAGGTCATTAAATTCCGATGCATTGTATCCACTGCATGCTTTGCAGATAGGCAAAATAGGCAGCTATTGACGAGGATAAATAACCCAATGGACTGGACATTTGGTCATCTGTAGCTTGAGCCTATCTATAGGTGCCTGACAGCAAAAGGAGCTTGTCTTGATTATGTATGCCTATTTTTCTCCTTTTCATATATATTTTGATGTACTTATTTCATTTTGTTACATGGTAGCTGCATTTTTTTTGCGAACAGAGTTATTTAGAGATGTACTTATAGGCTCTGTTATGCAATCTCCACAAATGTATTTTTAGGTGAAGGTAGGGGGGCTAGATAAGGTGTGTGCTAGGCACCCTGTAATATATCTGTTCTTAATTGTATTGTTGTATGCTGGCACATGCATCAAGAATATTTATGACCAAATTAAGGCAGTAAAACTGTGCATTAAAAATTCAAAGATAGCATGTTTAAGATTGATAAGAAAAGGTCAAATAGTCAATTATCTCTTAAATAAACTGTTGTAAGAGAGCAATTATATTTTCTGTTGCATGAGCACCATATTTATTGAAAATTATGTTATTATTGTTATTATTTCTAACATGTCTGAAGCATTTTTAGGTCCAGTTTAAGAATATAATAGGACTTACTAGGATGCAAAATTACTCTGGTTCCAGATCCAAAAGAAACCTTGAGTCCAGCATTATTTACACATTGAAAACCATCAATACATAAATGACAAACCTCAATTCCTGGTTTAAATTGCATTGTCTAAAACTAAAGGCATGTACAAAAAAAACTTACTAGCAGTGACTGATAATCTAGTGTCAGGTCCAAAAAATATATTCAAGCTATCTTTTACACACTCATACCTATCATTACATAAACTACATAAACTGGTGGTGTTCATTTCAACCAAATTAGAAGAGCATTGTGATTTTATTTTTACTAAATGTGAAATTACATTGAAAATTGTGGAGAATTATTAAGGGAAGTAAAACCTTTAGGCCAAAATAGATGAATTAAAAAAAACAAAAAAAACATTCAACTTAACTCCCTCCCTAAGTTATGCAATTCCCTTAAATATTCTGCAGAATTCTGCAGTTATTGAATAAACCCAATTGTTTTACTTTTGGGTTTACATTTCATGACTAAATCATTTTATCTGATTATACAAAAATGGCTCCCCATGTATTTGTAGTTGATCATAATCAGTATCAACAAGCATAATATATTCACCAGGTCACAGGTAATTGGGGAGTCCAATGGATACCTTTATCACAAAGACAGGTGTTTGCAAATTGTATTTTTATGTTAAATATGTTACATGTTTATATATACACATTTTTTTAATCATGTGTATATAGGCTATTAATATAAAATTTAACATAACTTTTAAGCAAAAAATAAAAATGTGTCCCAAATGAATATTTCATTCTAATTAATCTTAATTCTTTTCACTTGACTTATCAATGATTCATATCACTAGGTTTCATCTTACACTTACAATTACTTGTTTGATTTTCTTTTAAGTAGATCAGTGTGTATTTTTACTCTTATGTCTATCTTTTAATTGTTAAAAGGCAAGTTCATAAATGTTGGGTAGGACACCAGACTAGATTTTTGTAAATAAAGAGTACTAATTTCAAAATATGACTTATATGCTATTATTTTCTAACCAGCTTCAACAACTAGTATGGTCCCTGAGCCAAAGAGTTATTGTAACCTATGCTAGTATAGACACAATGAAGAAAGTGGATGCAATAAAGACCCTTTTTCTTTACAGCTAGTAAAGACCAGTACAATATTGATATAAAATACATAGTTTTGATAAACTCTAACAGGTACATTGTATTGTTTTTGACAGTTATATATTTATTGTTTTACTTCTTTGCTTTTTGTTGTTAAGTCTAGACATACATAAAGATGGATATGGACTGAACTAGACTGAGACATGGACAGAAGGCTGACAAATATGACTTGGACTTGTTGCCACAGTAAATGATTATATACACTTGAACTCACCTGGCTTCACCACCAGTTTAGTACCACTGCCAAATGTAACTTTTCTAGCGTTGTTATTAGCACAGTGATGTGCAGCATAGCAATAATACATTCTGGCCCAGATAATTAAGATCTATTGGCTCATGCTATGTCTTCTAACATGGTGATTTGGATGACAAAAATGTGGCTATATGTCACTGGACATAGTTTCCATGTCATAATGAGAGTTTGTAAGGTCTCCATGTATTTTTCTCAACTTTTTTATTTGTAAACATTATTGCGTGACAATATCATGTGTATTTAAAAAAATACTTGAAAATGTTTTGAAAATATTTTTTCTCAATAGATGTATCTATCATCTGTCTGTCTGTCTATCTATCGATCGATCTGTCTATTCAATATACAATATTAACTAAAAAAATATAGCATAGCATTTTTATTTGTTCTGTGTGTCCATCCATCTGTCCATCTTTTTGCATCTATTTATATATCTAATCTATCATTTTTAATGTCACAAGCTCCAGACTAGTATATATAAAAAAAGAAAAAAAAAAAGAAACAAACAATAAAACATTCACCTGGGTCCACCTTTATCTGGGTGCCTTTTCCAAATGTAAGTTTCCCAAGATTAGTATTTGCACTGTGCTGTACAACATTGCAATTACCTACCCCAACTACTAGTCTACCTGGATTCATTTCCCTGATTTATTCCGATATCTCACTTAATTACAGTGTTTTCTATCCAGTTCTCCTCCATCTGCTATTTGTATTATCATTATTAATGTTATTACATTTTATTTAATCAATAGCATAGTGGTATGTACAGAAATGTCAGATGGATGGAAATTAAAATAATTATATAAACTATGGATTCAAGATTGTCAATGATAAACCAAAGTAAAATAGGTTAACTTACTGGGTTTAACATCAAGATTAGTGCCCGATCCAAAAGTCACCTTCCAGCCACCAGTATTCACACAATGAAAAACCTCATGACACTAACTCATCCAGAAATTCCCAGTTACACTAATTACAAGAAGCACTTTTCCCTATTTCCCTTTTTTATTTGTAAACAAAGGCTGCTATAAATATGGATTCTATATTTTTTATATTTATATATTTTTGAATAGAACACATTGGTTGTGTTTATAAATATATAATTGTGCAAAGAGAAGTAACTCCTCTGTTTATGAAAAGCTAAGAAGAAGTTATCCAATATAATATCTGGAGATACTAGAATATTACCATTATGCAAACAAATGAAACCAAGAATAGCATTTTAATTAATTTATCTGTCCTTTTAGTGCTTTGAACTAGTGATTAGAATTTCACAATATTAATCATAAGTGAGTTAATTAGTAACTCAACTTTTTCATTACCTCACCTGCATATCAGTAAATTCTTAAACCTTTTTTTCTTTATAGGTCCCTTGGTTCAGTTTGGGGAACATGGGTTTGGAAAATTAGATAATTTGCAGGTTTTAATTTGATGTGTTTTATTTAGTTACATGTTATTTTTATAAGACAGGGAACTATTAGTGTTAATACTCACTTGGAAAGATTCTTAGTTCAGTGCCCTTTCCAAAAGTTAGTTTGGTGGTACCTCCACCATATGCACAGTCATATTCAGCTTTACACAATTCTATGCAGATTACTACACTATAATTATTCAGAACCACTGGAATGATAAACATTACAAGCATGTATCATTTATTTAGATTTAATTTACTATGCATATTTTTTTTTTACATTGAAATGTGCATTTTATATTACATTAATTTATTCAGCTTCACTGCCAAATACTGAAAATAAGAATTAAGTGAATCCATGACTATATTATATTTGATTGATCTTTTTCATTATTTGTGTATTCATCTATTTTATAAATCTAATTCTACAATTATTCTTAGTGCCCACACTTGCCCAGTGAGATCTTTATAATAAGCAACTTGGCTCAAACTGTGTTTTGATGAACTGGTATTGGAAGATGAACAATAATTCTGTAAGAATACTGTAACAAATGCGTGCCTCTCTGAAAAATCTATCAGTCCATCTGTTTATCTGTCTGTCTATCTATCTGTCTGTCTTCTATCAGGAGGAGAACAAGATGGAAAATTGTGATTACACGGCACTGGGCCTTAAATATATTCCAGCCAATATATTATACGTGTTTTCTTTTTCTATGTCGGCAAGAGTTTTGCAATATGTTTTTAAGTATGATTAAGTGTAGATTGTTCCATCTATCCTCTATCTTTTTTGTAAACATTATTGTGTGAAAATATCATAAGTTTCAAAAAGTACTTAAAAATATCTATTTTGTTTTCTAAATAGATGTGTTTATCTATCTATCTATCTATATATCTATTGGTCTATCTGTGTAGCATCATAAACATTTAGGTATATGGAACCATAGAACAAAATAATACAAAGTACATCACATGACCATTAGTCATCTGGTATTGCATTTAACTGGGTGCCTTGTCCAAATGCAAATTTCCCAAATTAGCATTTGCTCTGTGGGATAAAACTTTGCAATAACACACACAGACACAGTCACAATCTGGGATAATTTTCCTTGATTCTAACAGATATCTCACTTTATCCATTATATTCTATCCAATTCGACCTAAAACTTAGATTTTATAATTATTTGTGTTGTTAATGTTAATATATAGTAGTGTTATATTGAAAGCTTACTAATATATGCAGAAATGTAAAATTAATGAAAATGAGTTAAATTAATCCAAAATAAATATTAAGAGTCCATCGATATAGCACAACACACATGACTAGCTTATTATTGATGTTATTGGCTTGCACTGTTTACACAATTGATTTAGTTATTTCAGTGATACGCAAGTATATACTGGATTCAAGATTGCTAATGTTAAAACAAAGTAAAATGTGTTGACTTACTGGGTTTAACACCAAGATTTGTGCCCGATCCAAAAATCAACTTCCACCCACCAGTGCCAGAACACAGTGAAAAGCTTCATTGCTCTAACCTATCCAGAAATTGCCAGTGCACACATTACAAGGAAAACTTTGCTATTTTCTTTTGTATTTGGAAACATAGACTTTTACATATTGTTATTTAAAAAGCACAAATTTGTTGTGCTAAGAACAATTTTATTGTACATAAACTATTGTTTATGAAAAGCTGTTAAGAAGATATATATACTATATTATAATCTATAAAGATGATAGAATATTAGTGTTCCCTAAACAACATTAGTCAAACTATTTTGGTATTTTATTCTATAAAGTTGTCTGTCTGTCTATCTTTGAGATTTTTTTAAGCATTCACAATTCTAGCATATGAAAGTAAAATAATAATTTTATCATAATACAGTGGAATATGATGATGCTTTATGATTAAAGCAAGTATAACAAGACCTGCAATAATGAAAGATTTTCCACTATCAATGTTATTTCTTGAATTATGAAAAAAGGAATAAACATAGAAACATAGAAACATAGAATGTGACGGCAGATAAGAACCTTTTGGCCCATATAGTCTGCCCAATTTTTTTAAAATACTTTCATTAGTCCTTGGCCTTATCTTATAATTAAGATAGCCTTATGCATATCCCACACATGCTTAAAATACTTTACTGTGTTAACCTCTACCACTTCAGCTGGAAGCCTATTCCATGCATCCACTACCCTCTCAGTAACGTAATACTTCCTGATATTATTTTTATATTTCCTGCTTTTCTATTACATTGTCTGCCTACCTTTAAGTCATCAGAAATAATCACCCCTAAATCCCTTTCCTCAAATGTTGAGGTTAGCACTCTATCAAATATTCTGTACTCTGTCCTTGGGTTTTTACGTCCAAGATGCATTATCTTGCACTTATCCACATTAAATGTCAGTTGCCACAATTCTGACCATTTTTCTAGTTTAAGATGCAATCATCTTTTCCCTTTCCTATCTTCCATTTTAATCAAAGTAATACTATCTGGTGAATGTATGTCAGTATATATGAACATATATATAGTTAATAAATGGTATAATAATACTTACTAGGAGTTACAGTCAGTACCGTTCCAGTACCGAAGATTACTCTATTACCACCATAATTCACACAATGAAATATCTCCTAACAAATAGCTTACTGTTATTTCTTTGATAAACACAAATAAACAAAACGGAGATCAAACTTCATTTAACATTATTTTCTATCAGAACCAATATAAATTTTATATCTGCCTCATAGTATTTTATTGGCATAAACACACAATTAAAATAAGAACTTACTAGGACTGATGATTAATCTGGTGCCTGATCCAAAGATGACCTTGTAACCAGTACCAGTCACACAGTAAGATTCCTTATGACACAAACCTCCACTTTCAGATCCATTCTATGGCCAACATTTAGCATATGGCACTTTTGGATAGCAAGTTTGTATTTCAATGTGAATCATTTCAGGTAACTTGAATAAAGATAAATGAATCCAGAAAATATTTATGTTAACTAAAGCAAGTAGTTTATAAAATAAACATAGGAAACTAACTATTAGGCTAGAATTCCAAACATTAATCCAAAGCTTTGGTGCAATGAGTTAAAATTATTTTATTTATTTACTATGAAGTACAGAACCAACTAGTAGAATTCATAAAAAGTGCCTGAAATTTCTTTATCTGATTGATTCTCCTCATTAATTAAAAAAACAATAACGGTATTTCTGTCAGTCTTTCCATCCATTTATATACCTATCTTTCTATCTAATGTCACAAAATCTTTATACATATATAATGATAGAAAAAAAAAACCAGAGTACAATTGTCACCTGTTTTCACATTGTCCAAATATACATTTTTTGAGATTAGCATTTGAACTGTGGTGTACAACCTTTTTAATAACACACACAGACACATTATGTCTGGATTAATTTTACCTTATTCCATTATATATAAATACATTCTTACATTAGCCTCACTGAATTTAATGGCAAAATGCAAGATTAAAAAGCAAACTTACTAGGAATGATGATTAATTTGGTACCTGATCCAAAATTGACTTTGTTACTAATACCACTCACACAGTAAAATTCCTTATAACACAAACCTCCACTTAGAGTTGTGCTTCATCACAATTCAGAGTCAGATCTTGCTTTCAGTTCAGTTTTGATCACATGGCAGTTAATTGGTATTTCAAGATGAATCATTTTAAATAGTAAATAAGGATGAATTCATCCATCAAATATTTATCTTTGATAAGCTGAGTGGTTTATAAAGCATATGTAGCAAAAAGGCCCTTTGCCTGGTCTTCCAACCAAAGTCTAGATATGATTAATCAAAATTACTTTCTGTATTTATTGTGGAAGACAGAGCCAGTTAAGTAAATTAATAAAAATGTGTATTTGAAATATGATCCACTTGATTTTCCATGTAAATAGAAATGCCAGATGCTCTTTACATTTTATTTTAACTTTTGCATCTTTAATAGAGAAACAAGTAAAAAAAGAAGCCCTCGAACTGTATAAAACAGCCATTCATTCATTATACATTGACCGCACAGAAAATTATTGTTAGTGGTTTGCTGTTTTTTTTTTTTTTATTGCCTCCACAGTGATAGTACTCCATGTTGATGAAATGGACAGACGATACAGATAGGCTCCTGACTACTGATTATATACAAAATTAAGTGTTTCTGTGTAAGGTGTGCTCTGTATGCCTCAGACTGAAGCACAGAGATTCTTTTCCAGGTCATAAAATACCTGATAAAGAAAACAATTCATACACAGTATTTTTTCCAAATAACACCCATATAGTTTTTATTTTTGTTTCCATTAAAGAAGCAGACGTTAATGTAAGAAAAAATTGTGTCCATGCATAGTCAGAGACTATTACTATTTACCAATATTTACTTTCTTCCAGAAAATATAACTTTTTAATTAGTGTGAAAAAATGTATAAAGTACATATTTTATATGCATTAGTTCATGGTTAAATAAAAGTTGCCATCATATAAATTTAAATTTCAATAACAAATATTGTAAAATATTACACTAATTTTGTTTATAAAGTTGCAAGAGAAAAAAAATATTTTTTGTGAATGAAAATGTCTAGATTTTTTATTACATTCAACAGATGAATATTAAAATGTGCTTTTATTTTATTAGGTGATTAGTTTTGTGTGCTTTACTTAAATAAATAAGTAACACTATTTCAAGGAACTTTAAACACTATATAATATAGTCCAAAGGCAAGTCATATAAAAAATATAAAAAAATTGTAGGTTGTAATTGAAAGTGGTCATATAACTGCCCAAAGCATTTAATCAAGATACTTACGAGGTACAATGATCAGCTTTGTTCCTGAGCCAAAAATTAGTTTCCCAAATGCAGTACCATCATTGACACAGTGATAGGCCCATGTACAATAAAGTAACACATATGAACTGCACATTACCTTTTAACAGGTAAGAAAATGCTGGTTGTATTTATTGGGGCATGCTTATTACGAACTTGTAAGAATTTCATGCATTTAGAGCAGCTGGAGCTCTAATTTAGTACAGGTTTGTCTAAAGACATAGCGCCTACATTCATGGTGTTACACTAAAATAATATTTACTTTACATCTATTTAGCCAGTATCTGCAGAAATTAACTTTCTGGGTTTAACTTCCATTTTGGTCACAGACCAAGTGCAAGCTTATGATAGATAACCCATGCCAATACACAATGATTTAAACATGTAAATTAGTATTATTGTGCTCAGCCATTGACTGATAATCAGTATAAAGTGATGAAGGTTCTACTTTAACTTTAAAGCATTTTCTATGCAACATAGTTTAATAGTTCATTTTTCACTTGGGTTGCTTTGTCATTTTTTATCATCTAGCCATTGGCCTGTATACATTTCTAGAAAAAAACAGTCAGCCTCCGGGGTTTTGGCAAACAGACAAGCAGAAACATACAAATATCATATGGATTTATGTTCTTATAAGTTTGATTATTTAGAGGACAACTAACCTGGTTTCACCACCAATTTAGTCCCTCTTCCAAATGTAAGCTTATTAGCATAATCCACACAGTGATGCACAGCATAGCAACAACAGCTTTCATCTAAGACAGCATGCCATATTATACAATATCTAATTCTATAATTTAGATAAATAGATTGATGTGTATATGTAGGAATGGATAAACTGACAGATGGACAGAGTAACAGTCACAGATAAAAAACATCTAGAAATCAAAATGTCACCTGGTTTCACCATTAAGTTGGTGCCTTTTCCAAATGTAAGCTTCTCAAGATTATTATTTGCACTGTGGTAAACGCGCTTACAATAATATACACTGGTTTAGTTAGACATTGTCATAAGGAGTATATTTCCACACAATGACTATCCATCATTTACCTCAAATGCAAAGATAATTTTGATTTATATAAATACATTATTTAGCCAATGCTTAGTGCTATATAGAGAAAAAGCAAATGTTCAGCGACTTATTCACTAAATAAATGCCAAGTATGTTATTTTGGCTTATATAGATCCAGGTTAGAATACACAAGGGTTACTGAAGTGTTAGGTTGATAACTAAACACCAATTTTGTTCCACCTCTCATTTTCAGTGGTTTTAACCCTTTAAGGACCAAACTTCTGGAATAAAAGGGAATCATGACATGTCACACAAGTCATGTGTCCTTAAGGGGTTGAAGGAGTACTGATCTTACATTTTGAATATATTTGAGTGGCAATTCATCTTATTTTGGCAATAACATTAGGGATGAATAATTATTAAACTAACTTACTTGGTATAACATCAACTTTTGTGCCTGATCCAAAATGTACCTTCCTGTTATCATTCACACAGTGACAGACTTAATTACACTAACCAATATTAAATTATGAGTACTACTTGTTTAAGGGACATCTGTTAATCACCATTGTTACTTATTTTACTTTTACATTTAGGCTTCCTGTTGATTTATGTCTATTTTTTACAGATTGAGGTTTTTGTGTTTTTTAAATTTGTATAAAATATCATATCTGGGTGTTTTTGGAAAATATCCATGTTAGTTATGTATATTTTTCAAAAACACCCAGATATGATGTTTTATAAAAAAAAAAATGAAGGTAGAATGAAACAGTCTTGAAAGTACAATAAAAGACTATATTGACTCTTTTGAGACATGAAAAAAAATGCTGATATGAGTGAAAAAACTATAAAGAAGTTGTGGTATAAACTAATTGCATGCATTTGGAGGAAATAAAAATGTAGCTTACACCTCTAAAAATTACTGGGTTCCATTTCTAAAATATCTTTATGGCATATATAATCTACATTTAAACATGGGTTTACATGTGATAATAATATTAATATATCATAACTAATACTGCCAGATTTAAATACAAGTATGGCATAGAAATGTATGTTATTTAGTTCGTTAGGTCCAGTAATTCTGTTGGACCAAGTATTATAATAACTTTGGAACTCACTTGAATTGATGATTACTTTGGTTCCTGATCCAAAAGTGATCTTGTTATTAAAGGTATTCACACAGTGAGATCCTCCACGACATTAATGTTACAAACTGGTGTTGTATTTACAGTTTGGTTCGATAATTTAGCCACTAATTAAAATAATTAATATTTAAAAATGGACAATTTTGGCATACTGAAGAAAATAGTAGAAAGAATGATGACACTGAAATATGAATACAATACTTTTTTTTGGTTCTGGTGGTTTATAAATGAGATTTAAGAGCCTTTGAAGCAGTACTAAGATTAAGTCTCAAATATTGATTCAGATATGTTTTGGTTTAAACATTGCAATCCCTTTTTAGATTTTCTACAACTGCAGGTTTAGAGAATAAATCTATATGACTATTTTAAAAAGATTTTGATTGATAATTTTTTATCTTCTTAGAATACAAAACATGTATACAGTATTAATATAGTATATTACAAATAAGAGTTACTTATTAAATAAGAATGCACAAATTTATCAAACACCCTATTTAAGAAACAATAATTAATAATAGCATTTATACATATATTATTATGAGTTGTGACATATGTAATTTGGCCAAGTTTACCTGGTTTCACCACTAATTGTGTTCCTTGTCCAAATATAAATTTACCAGCATTGTAATTAGCACAGTGATACACAGTATGGCAATAACGACACTGCTTAATTACCAAGGTCAATGCAAATATTTACTGCCAGGCAGTGTTTTTTTTTTTTAAATCAAGTAAGGGATATTAGCTGCTTAAACACATACATGATTATACTGTATATTGATTAATGCATTAATTCATTTTAGTTATTTGATTACGTGCTGCATAGCAAGGCACCATTAATTGAAATAGCCATCTTTAGCACATCCAAGTCAAATTCAGACTTAGCCAAATCATTTAACTTAAACTAGACTTTGATAAACCTTAATATTAATAAAAAAAAATATTTAGTTCTGAATAATCTGCTTAATGCTTGTACCAGTAGACAGGCTCATACCAAACCAAGCTTAAAGATCTTATTTCTTGTTATTACTAATTCACTTATGGATGACCTAACGTTTTGTGGATCCAATGAGAAATCTGATTGCCATATAGAGTCAAGATTTTGTTTCTTTTTGTTGTGGTATAGTTGGCCATCGCTAAAGGTTGTTTTTTTGCAATGATTATGCATTAACAGCATACAAATATGTGTTTTAATGATTAAACTTAATGGACTTGAATCTTTATTCAACCTAGATTACTATGTAACTATGCAATTATCTTATGATAAATATGATAAATCCAGAAGCATTTAGCTTTTGCCCAAGGCTTGTGAACAATACCTGAAATGTAAGATATTCATTAAACATATTAAATCATAACTGAATATCAAAACATAATGAATATTTATGTTAAGTTAAAATACTTACTAGATGTAATGACCAGTTTTGTTCCTGATCCAAAAATCAGTTTACCATAGGATGCACCACTATTCACACAGTGATTGTCCTGTATACAGTAAAGTAACTGTGAAATGGCTCAAGGACTCTGCCAGTACAGCCATGCTGTGCTATAAATGACTCTTGGCACAGGGCCAGCAGAACTCTTTTTATAGGGTCAGTTATGAGGCAAACATTTTAAGTTGGCAGTTACTATGAAGATTTATTTTGTGTTTATTATAATTGTTCCAATTTTAAGGAAATTGCTTCATGGCCTTTTGTTATAAGTTTTTCTCAACATATCGAAGGCTATATTTTTTAAAGATAGCATTCTTAGAGATGTTGGCAATAAATCCCTTCTCAATATGCTGTGATTAAAGGACATGCCAGTTGTATAACATTATAAATAAACTGGTGTTTTCTATAAACGTTGAGGGAATAATTCTAAAATAATAAAACTACAGCTGTTTGTTAATACTGATATTTTCTTCATTTAAAGACTCAGAGTTGTTTCTGGATTTATAGAATACATATATATGTTATATAGATTGATAGTATGACTTACTTGGTTTGACAACTAACTTGGTGCCAGATCCAAAAATGACTTTCCTGCCAGCATTATTCACACAGTGAGGAGAGCTATTACACTAACTTCCCTACTCCTCATTATACACAACAATGTTAACCCTTTGTGAGTGCTGCTTAAAGCAAGTGGCCTTAGTTTTAGCTAAAACACTATAACTAAATACATTTAGCATAACCAATGCTAAACCTCAAATTAGTCATTAAAGCATATTGTTTTCTTTATGATGGGATATATACATGGAGTAGATAATGTTTAATAAAATATGTATAATCTAAGCCATTTCATTTTATGCTTTGTTATTCCAGATATTGGATACTCATGTTATGCCAGACATATCACATAAAAGGGGAGCAAAACTCACATGTGTATATGGTACTCTCAATATCTTGGTTAGTACATGCCTGTCAACTGCCAAAATATTCAAGAGCAAATATACCATACATTTTAATGGCGATTTTATAAGTCTCAGAAATTAATGGAAGGTATTGCTTGAACAAAATTCATGAATCATAATGTCCCTCCACATACTTTAGATTAACAGCAGGATTTTTTTTTTTTTTTTACAGTTAGAAAATGATGTATGATATAGACTTGCAATAGCAGTGGTACAAATTATACTGTGAAATAGTAAAAAAAAAAAGTTAGGGATTGATACACTGTTATCCTCAGGGAAAGGGCATGAAATAGCACACCCGTTTTTAGGGATAGTTACACTGATATTCTGAGGAAAAGGACAGGAAACAAGAAATTGTCCAAAATTATTTAGCTTCTATTTTATTCTTTCAGATAATTTATGTGATAAAGAACAAAGAATGTAATTTATTCTTAGTTACATATGTAAAAAATAAAAAAATACAGAAAACTTGAATTAAACTAATACTATTACTAAATTTATATTTAGATGAAATACTCAATAGGTTGAGCCTTACATTGAACGATAACATCTAAAATTAGTATTATTTGTAACTTACTGGGCAACACAATCAGTTTGGTTCCTGATCCAAAGATTATTTTCCTTCCACTAGCAGTATTCACACAGTCAGAAACACCTTTGCTTAAATGCCACTCAATTCAATCTCCTGCTCTCTGCATGTAAGTTGCCTCCTGTTTACTGGAACTTAATCCTCTTATTGTTGTAAAATAGTTATGGATTTCAGGTATATAAGCAAACACAACAGTTAAATAAATATCACAAATAATTTTAAATAGTAAATGAATGCCCGTTTAACAAAAAGGTAAGAAGCAACCTCTTTATTAATATATTGATACAGATATTGATATGACATATATTTTGATCTCTCTCTCACTCTCTTCATGTGTATATATATATATATGAATATATATATATATATACATATATATATATATATATATATATATATATACATATATATAAAGAAAAATCATAAAGGTGCACACCTGGATGTAAAAATGTAAACTGTTCAAAGGATCAATGTTTCGACCTCTATAAGGTCTTTCTCAAGATCAGAATATATATATTTTTTCCAGGTACCAGCACTTGACGATCCCGGTCTTTTAATTGCTTTGGTGCAATCTCCAACTAAATATTTATTCCAAATAGAGAGTTTTTTTGGTAAATCTTATGATAACTTTATTAAGCAAATGCAGTGATACAAGCAATATAACTGCATCTGCTTAATAAAGCAACAGTACAATTTACCAAAAATGACTTCAGAGTGCTCTCTATTTGGAATATATATATATATATATATATATATATATATATGTATATATATATATATATATATAGTGTAATACACACAGAAGTGTGATATATATAAAATTAATACTTGGATCAAAAGAGATCAAAATTAACACAGGGATCAACACCGGATTTGTAACTTACTAGGCTGCACGATGAGTTTAGTGCCAGATCCAAAGATATATTTCCATCCACTACCAGTATTCACACAGTCACATGCACCTTTACTCAAATACCATTCAGTTTCCTATTCTACATGTAGGATGTTTTGACTCCAGATTACAAGGAGATAAGCATCCCGACTGCTACTTGCAATTTGCAGGTCAAATAAATAACAATTCCCAACAGTTCAATAATTTTGTAAATTGAATCAACCTAGTGTGGCATTGGCAAAAATATATTGAAGCAAACTCTATTCATATAGACATTTCCTATTTAAGTAAGGTAAAGATATTGTTTCCAACTCAGAAATGTAGTCAAAATTTGAAAGTTGGTTGCAAACTCACAAATTACTTTTTAATGAAAGACTCCTAAAATATCTTTCAGAATTCTTATGAAAGGGTGAAAGATATTAGCTAACTTTGTAAATCTCTCAATTATCTGAAAAGCTTGAAATACTATACAAATGTCAATATAAGAACATCGACACAATTTAAAGTATATATCCTCTTTATTTCTTTATGGAAGCTAATCTCATAACATAAGTTTCTGATTTATAAAATTTCTAAACTCTATTTCAGCCACATTAAATGATACATGTTCATATACGCTCATATACGTATTCTCATCTTATAATAAAAACACTTACCAGGGTTAACCATTAATTTAGTTCCAGACCCAAAAATAAGTTTCCCATAAGCTCCACTTCCATAAGCACAGTGATATACATCTATACAGTATGATGTCAGAGGGTGATTACATCCTTCACCACTATCAGAACAAGTTAAATAATATAAGTGGATATAAAGAAAATAGTCCACTAAAGGCCTCCTTTAGCTTAATAAGTCTTAAGCTGTAAAATTACGTTTGGCCACATTGGACCACTTTCCAATATGACTTACAGCTGGAAATATTTTATGTTTATATACTGGACATGGTGCAATCTATACTGATACTTTAATTATCATATAATTCTATACTGATCTGGTCTATTGGATCCCAAAAATAAAATATGATACCCTAAATTCACTTACTTGGAAGGACTGTCAGCTTGGTTCCTTTGCCAAATATCTGTTTCCAGCTGCCTCCACTATTAGCACAGTCACACACACCATTACAGAAACCAGGTTCATATTATATATGCAGTGTAAAAGATGTGTAGAACACTTACAAAGATCATGTACAAGTTCAGTCCAGTAAGAACTTTATTCTTTACTTATAAAACAAAAATGTATTTAATATTCTAAAGTATTTTCTTTTGAGTGTCTTATGATGAGTTAAGAATTAACTAAATTCTTGCATATGAACTCAACTATCTGACACTAAATTATAACATAACAAGGTCTATCTGTATATGAGTATTAAGATTGTGTTTAGAGACACATTTTATTGAACATCAACTGTATAAATGGTCTCATGCATGCATACACTAAAAACAGACATCACGACGGAACAATCAACTTGCAAATTAATTGTTGGGAAACAAAAGATTCAGTAAAGTAGATTTAGGATATTTTTCCAACTCTTTTTTACATAGATAAGTCCTTAACCCCTTAAGGACCAAACTTCTGGAATAAAAGGGAATCATGACATGTCACACATGTCATGTGTCCTTGAGGGGTTAAGATAATTGGTTCCGGATGCCATCTCAATAAAAATGTATTACATGTTGTTAGGACATTCTATAAACATAAATGGATTTGTCTAAGTTTCTCTGATATTAAGTTTAATAAACGTACTGGGCTTTATATAGACTTGTGTCCCTCCACCAAATACCAGTTTATTTGTGCTATCATAATTGGCACAGCCACATAATCCATTACACAATAGGCACAGTTTTTTAGCCAGTGTGATAATAGGGCAGTTATAATTAGATTCTGTTAATATGCAGTCATTAGAAGCATTTCCATTTCAATATATATCTATATAGGTTGATCATTGATCCTGTGTGGTCTTCTATTTCATAATTATTATTGATCTCTGACACTTTATGAAGTGTGATACAATAATTAAAATAATAATATAAATCATCAATAATACTATCATGATCATTAATTAATCAATTCACTTATTATTTAATTTAGTACTGGTGCTTTTGTATGTTCAACATATGTATAATAACATGAAAAAATGACTTTACTTTGCTTCCTTTACAGATTTACAGTATCTTCCCTTTATTTATCTCTTGAGATCAATGATTTGTTGGTGTATTGACCTTACATATGGCATAATACCAGTTACCATGTATTATTTGCCTTAAACAATGACTGTTACATTTCTGGTAAACCCAATGTGTGCAATTAGATGGGAAATTTTGATAAGTGTGGTCTGATATACTTACTGGGTTGGACAGAAAGCTGAGTGCCTCTGCCAAAGATTAGCTTTCTGCCACCGGTATCAACACAGTCACACACACCATTACACAAACCAGGCTCACCCCTCTACAAACATGACTACACACTACATTTGAAGTGAGAAATGGATACCTGATGAAAGTGCAATCATATTAATTATTGACAATCTATGTCTGACAAACAGTGGCATTAAGGATATTGGGTATTAATGCAAACACTGTGTTCCTAATACATATCAAATGAACAATTTTGAATGTTTTTCTTTTTTTTACTGAATAACAGTTACTTTTTATATATTTATTCATCTAAAATGAAAAAAATAACTTTTTTTGTGAAACAGGATTTGCACAATGATAACTATTTATAGTCATATAACTGAACTAATGCAATACTGATGAGTAATTCACAAAGATTCGTACAGTATCATCCTTTAAGCCCCGTTTTTCACAGAGCATAGTAATCCTTTTATTAAGTGTGACATATTCAGTATAATGAAGTTTTTAAATGGTTCTAAAATGTCCCATATTTTAAAATGAAATAAATGTATGTACATTGCAGCCTGCCAAGTAAGATCACCATGAAGTTATGAAAATATAGTGAGAGGTTAAAGTCAAGACTTTTAAGTCTTCAGGTTAAAGTCAAGACTTTTAAAGATATGTAATTAACATGTACTTAATCTAACATCATGCATGTTACAGGTATTTGGCTAAGGAGATGATGATATTAATAAGTATCTTATGGGTATTTCTCTGGTTCCTAGTATTTTGATTTGCCCTAGATTTAATTTTATGGTAACAGATTTTAATTATCTTCGTGATATTTACATATTCACGGACAAGTCACCAAGAATCTACTTACTTGGGATGACAGTCAGCTTTGTCCCCATTCCAAATATTATCTTCCCCCATCCACCACCAGCATTCACACACTGACTCACAGCTTTACACAATCTCACATACCTGGCTAGTGGCTACATTGACTTCATTGCACTTTTTGTTATTTGTGAAAAAAATTGTTAGATTATTTCTCTCTCTATTAAAAACAAATCTCCCTCAATGACTCCATCAGCAGATCCTGCTTCAGAGTAAAATACTTAATGAATAAAAAAAATAAAATGCTAAATATCTAAAATAAATAAATGTCATATATCAAAATATATGGCGCTGTGATTGAAAGTATTTATAAATAAGGTTATATGAAATACATATGAAAACTAAATTGGAAAATGTAGACCAAAATAGCTGAGTGAGTTGAAAAAGATCTCAGCTATTTTTTCTACTGGGCTATTTTGGCATGGATTTTGCAATATTTATTTTCAATCCACCACATGCCAATACTTATTAAGTATCCTACTCAGTTTGTTTTGCTGATTTCTGTGACAATTAATACAAACATATATGCAGTCACCAGTTCTATCACAATATTGTTTCCATTAATAGAGTAAAAAAAAAATACAGTTTGACCAATTGCACACAAAAGCCCATTTAATATTTCTGACAATTAAGGGAGATTTCATAATTTCCAACAGATCTGCATCAGTTGAATAGAAAAACGATTTAATACTTATTGGGAATAACAGTTAGCTGTGTGCCTGAACCAATGATGTATCTATAGCCAGTATTCACACAGTAAACAACAATAAGCCCACCAGCAAAGCAGCATGAACACTACAGTGTATTTATTATGTATACGTATGTGAGACATGGACCATAATGCTGTTACAGCAAGACCCATTCACAAATCTTAGCAAAATCTATATGGGAATAATGTATTGTAATTTCCTATTCACAGGGAAGCCTATTGATATATCAGTACCTTTCTTTTTAAATATTCCGGGATTCAAATCAGAGGCTTTATTCTGATCAGAGCTACAATTATCACTGGTTAGAAAGGAGCCTTTTATAACCATGAGAAGAAATGCTATTCAATTACCAGTTAAATGTGTCACCACATCTCCTAATTACATTGTATTGTAAATCTCTGGGGATATGAATTGTGGCAAACTCACAGCAACCTGACAAACAGGAGGCTAATATAGACAAGTGTCATAAAAGCTATTATGACTACTATTTTGGACCTGATTTATTCATGCAATAATTCATTGTAAAATTAATAGGATTTCTTTACAATGTGACTTTACAGTGAGCCATTTAACAATAATATAACTATTATGTGGATTTGTATTTCCTAGTAATTAGGCAATATATCAACTGAATTATGTAACACTGTTTATATACAGATTAACTTTCTAACAGGTTTAAAATATTGTCATACAGCCTGGTTAACTGTCCCTTAACTGTTCCTTTAACATGGATGGAAAAATAGAGATTCCTAGGAGTCAGGGAAGAGATCAAAATAAAAAATGCAAAATGTCACTTGTCTGCATAAAACCAAGTATGGCAAACACACTCTGACATTGGTTTGATCACATACAATCTTATTCATGTATCAATTACATTTATGTCCACATTTATTTTTGCCGCTCATAAAAATTGTCAATACTTGTTTGTATTACACATGTGATGCTAAGAAAGTACTCACTTCAGGAGAATGACCCAAATTACTTATGTATATTTGTTCTATAAATTAAAAATAGATCTTCACTAAACAAGAGAAAAATAATGGTCAATAGAGCTTATTTGGAAAGTTATCCAAGGCTGATTTTTTTAGCATACTTTGTAATTTGGTTTTCTATTTAATGAAATTTAGTGTTCAGCGAATAAACTGTAAATATTCTGTAATTTTTTGTGAAAGAAAAAAGTATACACTCACTCGGTCTCACTTCCAGCTTTGTCCCTTCTCCAAATATAAACTTGTAGCCATTATTAGCACAGTGCTCAGTGTCATTACAAAATGACATCAAACAATGCAAGCATCAGGTGCCTTTACCTGAACGGTTTGTTTTATATTTATTCATGCTGTATAATGTGATGTTATAGTTCATAAATAAAAGAAATGTGTCTAGAAATGTTTAATAACAAGATTTATTCAAAAATTCTAATGGATTACTCAAGATTCTAAGTTGACTAATCATGGTAGATACTATATTGTTTCTTGCACATAACTGAAATTATTTTCTTCTTTACCTTTCTTGCATGTTTTTGCAGGCCATTTTTATTACATCATTTTAAGTGTGAAAACATTAAATTGAGAAAACTTGGCTATATATCTCAATTGACATGTCTATAGTCTTATTTATAACCAGTATTACATCATCTCATCTTCAACTTGAATGTGTTTTGTTTTTTTTCAATTTCATTGTCGGACATCTGTTCCTGAATAAAAGCTGTTTTTTTGTTGTTTTTTTGAAGTACCCTTAAGTACAAGCACTTTATGTGCAATTATTGATGAACTATTTTCTACAGCCCCAATGGTAGATGTTGCGCTTATATCTTTAAAACCTCAATAAAGTCTTCAATTAGAGTCTCAATTACAAGCATTCATAATACACATAGAAACAGAGAGACTCACTTGGTGTCACTTGCAGCCTTGTCCCATCACCAAATATAAACTTATTGAAGCCAGTATTAGCACAGTGTTCAGTGTCATTACAGAAAGTCATGGAGATGCATTAACTACGAGTACAAGGGTGCTTTTCACCAATAGGGAGTTTTACTCTGTGTACAAGTGACTTTAAAATTTTCATCATAACTGTACACTTTAACCAAAATAATCATATTTTTCATTGGCTATACTATTTTGTATTTTGATTAGATGTCAGCTCACAACTGCTAATTGTTCAACAAACATCTCCCTCTGATGAATAGTTAATGTTAGTGTGCTATTGTGTTTATAAAGGATTATTCACTAAGCACTGAATTATAGTGAATTGAGATCTAAATAGAAGAATAAAGGATAAAATAGCCAAGCTGTGACTGTAGATGAGGTGGAAAATTTCTCCAAATATGTTATAATGGTCTAAATTTTGTCATTCAGATTTCAATTTGCTATAATTCAGATTTTAGCTAAGAAATATTAGAAAATACAATTAATAATAACAATAACATACTTACTTGGTATGACATGTAGCTGTGTCCCTTTCCCAAATATAGGTTTACTGAATCCACCAGTATTACACAATGCTAAATGTCATTGCAAAAAGTGTTACATTACAAACACCAGGTGTCTTTGTTAGATGTAATCACATGGCCAGATTACTCTTACTGGGAATTCAAAGTTACATTTGAGCCCAGATTAGCTGGACCATGCTATGCAAACAGTTTCATCTATATTGGTTTTACATTTGGTATTCCCAGCAGTCCTCACTTTAGTGAATAATCCTATAGGATTATTCACTATTCACGTAACACCATACCTCCTGCTATGAGTATCTGCATAGAGTCTCAGTGTATTGTGTGCACTCCTGTAGTACATAGTATTTTCATAGTAAATTAAATTAATAATATTAAAAACCAACTCACTTGGTATAACATGCAGCTGGGTACCTTTGCCAAATATAAGCTTATAGGTTCCGCCAGTATTATCACAGTACTGAATGTCATTACATAAAGTGTCACATTACAAGCACCAGGTGTCTTTATAAGATGTAATCACCGAGATGCTGTATTAATGTAACATCGTGCATTTCCTTCTCATAAATCCTAGAACACATTGTTACTTAGGATACCTGATTAATGCATATTTCCCACTCAGTGTCTCCATTATTGACCTAGTCAAAGAATGATGCTTAAAAATAACCAGCATTTACAGGGAAAAGCTCAAACATACTATTTCTTCCCCTTTAGAAAATTAACCCCAAATTGTACTTTTTTTTTTTTTTTTTTTACATAAACCCCCAATGTCACTTTCTTGTCTGTAATAAAAAACATAATTATTACATCTACCTAGGAAATTTACAAAATGAACACTCACTTGGTCTCACGTGCAGCTGGGTCCCTTTCCCAAAGATAATTTTAAAGCCACCAGTATTAGCACAGTGCTCAGTGTCATTACAAAAAGGTTCATATATTGCTAGATCCCTTCATCTGTATATATTTGAACTCAAATTATATTAATTACTAAACTGCCCTCTCTAATAAGCATTCATATAAAATGTACACCGTTCACTAACGATGTCATCAATTAACCTTGTGCTGTTTCAGTTAATTATAGTTTTGCTCAGGAGAATAATCAATCTGTCATAGAAGGGAGCAGAACAATGTTTTAAACATTCAAATAAATATAATGAGAACACATTTTCATGTTAGAGATGTAAACTATTCATCTTCACTTTATAAATGAAGTGACAGGAATTCAAAGTGAATTTAATATTTTAGGCTAAAACTGGAACTGAAACTGGAAAAACTCCTTAAGGCTGTTTTGTTTTTAGTTACGCTTTTTTGGCCTAGAATTTTTTAGTCCATTTTGAATTCTTGAACGTTCACATTATAGTAGATAGTGTTTTAACTGTGTTTTAACTGTGTTTTAACGTATATAAGGGCTATAGTAAAACAGGAGCTGGTATTAAATACTGGTTAACAGCCTATGGTTTCATATAGTGAATGTACTGATAAAAGTGAAATGTGTCTTAATCGTGGTCGCCAGTTAGATTAGTGTGTATTTTTTGAAATATTAACCACTACTAAATACTTACTGGGATGAACAGCTAGCTGGGTGCCTTTGCCAAAAACTATTTTCAAGTTATTACTAGTAGCACAGTAACACATCATGGTACTGAAACCTAAACTAATTTTACATCTCTGCATTAGGCTAGTGCCCAACATTCCTTGTTTACCTTGCCAAAGGTTGCCTACCACTGCTCTATAACTATGTCTACTCCGCAAACCCTAACTGTGTGAATACTGTTTTTTACAAACTATGCTTTTCCCTGAATTTGATAGAAATGGCTTATCTGCAGACATAGGAATGTAATCAACTGACCATTAAGCAAAGTCAACCTACATCAACCACCAGCTGATGGTATTCTTAGCATTCACTCATCAACAGTAAATGACCTGTCTACTACACAAAAACTGAAATCTGAAATCTCTAGGTTTGTATTCTGTGAATGACCCATGTTGCAGAAGGAAAATAGGAATTTGGCCATAAAACAACCCATTCAGATATAAGTAGATGACTTTATCGCACTCTGATTTTTTTATATTTGTGCTTATTTTGTTTAAACATATAAAAGGTTATTTCTTTAAATTCATCCATAAGATACATATAAAGAACAGAGAGAGACTCACTTGGTGTCACTAGCAGCCTTGTCCCATCTCCAAATATAAATTTATTTAAGCCAGTATTAGCACAGTGTTCAGTGTCATTACTGAAAGTCATCGAGAGGCAAACACTGCAAGCACACAAGAGTCTCTCCACTAATAGTGAATTTTACTATTTTTACAATTTACATTCAAAACTTACATCACAGTTGTAAATGTAACTATTTTAATCAATAGCATTGTTCATTTGAATTACAGTTTTGCTTAATTATACCTGGTTATTTAGTGAACAAACCTCTTGGAAAGAGAGTTAATGGTACACAAGATTGTTAAGAACTAAGATCTGAATTGTAAAAGTATCGAAAATAGCCAAGATGCGACTATGCCAAGTAGACAAATTCTCCAATTCAGTTTTTAATCCTATTTTTTTTTTAAATTTACCATTCAGATTTGAGTTCCCTACAATGTGTAATGTAATCATTAAATACAATAAAGTACAGTTTGTAATAATAAACAATCACACACTCACTTGGTGTCACATGCAGTCGGGTCCCTTTCCCAAAGACCAATTTATTGACATTATTATCACAGTGCTCAGTATCATTACAAAAACCCAGGATTGGCACACATGCATCGAGTGTTAACCCCTTATATAAATTTCCCTCATGATCAATATCTGCATATGGGGTCAGTGTATTACATCTGCATTTGTAGTAAAGGGTCTTTCCTGGCATATAAAATACAATTAATATTAAAAATCAACTCACTTGGTATAACATGCAGCTGGGTCCCTTTCCCAAATATAAGCTTATTGACTCCACCAGTATTAACACAGTATTGAATGTCATTACAAAAAGTGTCACTTTGCAAGCACCAGGTGTCTTTATCAGATGTATACACTGAGATGCTGTATTAGTGTAACATCGTGCATTTCTTTCTCATGAATCCTAGAACATAATGTTATTTAGGATACATGATTCATACATATTTCAATCTCCCCATTCAATGTCCCATTGTAAGAATAGTGAAAGAATAATTATTTAAAAATAAACAACAATTCCAGGGAAAGGTTCCAACATACCGTTCCTTTAGAATTTCAACCCCAAATTGTTTTTTTTTTTTATATAAACCCTCAATATATAGTTTTTGACAGTAACAAAAAAAAATAGAACTATAGAATTTAAGTAGGAAATGTAATAAATGAACGCTTACTTGGTCTCACATGTAACTGGGTCCCTTTCCCAAAGACAACTTTAAAGCCATCAGTATTAGCACAGTGCTCAGTGTCATTGCAAAAAGGTTCATAAATGATTCCCTTACCTATTAGTCCTTTATCTGTCAATTTTTGAATGCAAACTCATTAATTACTTTAATTTGGAAGTTGTCTATTAAAATGCACACCTTTTACCAGTTTAACAATTAGCGTTGTGGTATTTCAGTTAATGGCCTTTTTAACCAAGAAAATATTCATAATGGCATAGACAATTGTTATAAACATTAAAAATCAAATGATAACACGTTGGAATGTCATATTACCAATAAAAACTATTTCGCTGTATTTTTACACAGTGATATTCACAACATTCTGACTTGTTGGGAATTCAAAGTGATTTTCACATATTAGGGTAAAATTGCCAAAATGAGAAACATTGTCTAATTCAGCAAGTCACTTTTACTTTGCTAATTCTTGTTTCTTCTTTTATATACGGAACGTTGTGATATGATTGACCATTTTCTCACTAATGAAAATCACTTAGATTAGTGTGTACATTTTTTAAATTATAATAACTATAATATACTTACTTGGATGAACAAATAGCTTGGTGCCTTTGCCAAAAATAAATTTCCTGCTACCAGTAGTAGCACAGTAATAAATGATGCTACACAAACCTAACCTATTATCACATTTCTATATAAGGCTAGTGAACAGTATTATTTTGCTACCCATCTTTGTATAACCAGGTCCAATCCACAAATGTTATCTCTGCAAACATTGTGTCAGGGCTTTTGTCCAAGATTCCTAGAAATTATTTATCGGGAGATTACGGATTACTTAGTCAACTCACTCCATCTTCATCCAGACAACATACATAACCATTAACCACAAGCTGATAACAGTTTTGATCACATATTTATGTTTTTGTATTTGACTATAAAAAGGTCAAAACCACATCTGTCTGCTAGATGAAAATAGAAAATTAAAATATAGGTTTGTATTCTGTAAATGGTCCGTAATGCAGAAGGAAAAGAAGAATTTGACCATAAAACACCTCATTTAGATAAGTGTATATATCACGCTAATGTCAATGCAATTTGTAATAGAAATATGAATATCCATGACCTTTGTTTGACATTTATGTGAACAAATATATTTTTAAATATTTGCTCAATACACTCAATTTTTAAATATCTAATAAATCCCAAAAATACCTTTTTCACTAATAAGACATACGATCCAGAGTATACTTTTCACTTGTGAGTTATCAGAGTCAAAATTACATATATCATTCAATTAGATGTACTTCTAATCATTAAATAATTTACTGCACAGTACTGATTACTAAATATTAAAATCACTACAGGAAATTAATTAAACTAGTCTCTTAAGAAATATATTCTGTACATTTCTGCAACTAAAAAAACTTTGTTTGAAACTATAAATAGTCATATAAAGCAATGGACCTTTTTTGCTTATTTTAAGATCAGTATTTTGTGACCTATTCAGCATAGGAATTTCAGATGTAAATGCTCACTGTCAGTCTGACAGTAAATTTTGAACATTCTCATTGTTTCATTGTGGAAGTTACTGTGCCAAAGTCCTTTATCTCCCTAGGAAATGCACTCAAATATTACATTACTGTCTGTATTAAAAATAAGATACTCATTAAGTTATACAAATTGTTAGACACTCACTTGGTTTAACTGATAACTTGGTCCCTTTTCCAAATATAAGTTTGTAATTACCAGACATACACAGTGTTGTGCATCATTACAATAACATTTGCAGCTATACCAGTTTTCTCCCTCTCGCTCTCCATATTTATATATATATATATATATATATATATATATATATATATACATACATACATACATATACACACACACACACACACACACACACACACATTTATTCAAAAGAGGAATTCATTTAATTAACTTTAAATTTGCATCAACTAAATGCTATGTAATATACACACATATAATGAATACAATTTATGTGATGTTTTTCTTTTTTTAATTAAATAGCGAGTTCTAGTGAAGAGTTTGGAAATATAGGCCCAAATAAAAATATATTTTTTTTAATTCACCACAGCACTTTAGTGAATAATGTTAATTGGTGAAAACTACATTAAATTTGCAGAATAAGATAAAACAAAGAAAAGCAGACTTGACCATAAGACTAGGCTTTAATCTAGATGGGCCGAATGGTTCTTATCTGCCGTCACATTCTATGTTTCTATGTTAATCTGTTCCAACACATCAGGCATTCATTATTCATTATATTCATTAAAGCCTACAGCCTTAAAGGGTATGAATTAAGGTTATAATACAACAAGGACAGAATACAATAGGTTATTTAGTGTCAAACAACCCATTAGAGTTGACTACCAGGGAAATTTTTCCCTATTCTGCCAGAAATATCCATGTGAGTTTATAGTCTGCAATATGCTTGCAGCAGATGTGACTGATGATAATGTGACATCAATAAATACATAGAAGCCCATAAAAAAGAAATTGGATCAATTCATTGTCACATGCCTGAATCTTTTTTACTGTTGTTAAATATATAAATATATGGTAAGGCTATAACAAACAAGCATTATCCAATATATATTTCAATTTGTATTATAAAAGTATAAAGGTGTTGTATACATATAATTACAGACTTACTTGGCTTTATATGAAGATAAGTTCCTTTCCCAAAGGTAAGTTTACTAAGGGCATTATTAGCACAGTGCTCAATGCCATTACAAAATGTACCATGAAGGTGCTTGTGGGATCATACAGAATATGCACTATTCTTCATGTAATACTTCCATATCATTTTTATTATAAGAATAATCATAAATATACTCACTTGGTGACACATGAAGCTGTGTCCCTTTCCCAAATGTAAGCTTAGCACCAACAGTATTAGCACAGTGCTTATTGTCATTACAAAAAGTCTAATTTTACAATACACTAGGCAATGTTAACAGAGGGGATCTCTGGGATTCTCAAGCTTAGTATTATATATTATTCTTTCCATTAAAACCTTTAACATTATCATACTAGGGATAAAGAATATACATACTTGGTCTCATATTTAGCCAGGTTTTTTTCCAAAATATGTAGTTATTATTAGCAGTGTTCAGCGTCATAAAACAAAGTCCCTGGTCCTTATTAGATAATTTCATTAAAATATTTAATCTAATGCTTCCCAGTCAAATGTAAGTATTATGGATATAAGATAAACTTACACCTTGTACCTGAATATCTGTTTTTCCATTAACTTCTATTGGAAAAATTATATTTGGGCCTATTTAGCAATAAGCCTGTTTTAGCTAAAAGAATCTTGCCATGAAGAGATTAATTGGTATTATATATATATATATATATATATATATATATATATATATATATATATATATATATCTCAATTCTCAGAACATTTTCTGAAAGTGGCATGAAATGTAAACACATGCCTTTTGTTTCCATTGAGAACTTTGCCTCAATTTGATATTTTTTAAAAAAAATCACAGTACGTATTGCTTTTCTGGAATAGCAAATATAAAACTGGAGCAGAATAAGCAGACTCACTTGATCTCACGTACAGCTATGTCCCTTTCCCAAAAGTAGGTTTATCATAGCCTTTCTTAATGTTTTATTTATGTTTACTACCCAATTATCACTTTCTTAGTAGAGTGTAAATATATAGGATAACAAATTATCATAATAAATATAAAATAACATTATACACTCACTTGGTGTTACATGTAGCTTGGTTCCTTTTCCAAACACTAGCTTATTATAGCCAGAAGTAGCACAATGCTCTAAGTCATTACAAAAAGCCAGTGGCAGTCATGAAAAAGAGAAGTAATCCATGTATTTCACCTGCATGGGCTATTTAATGCCATGAACCATAATTCTAGGGGGTTTGATAACTGCATAGACTATAATGGTGAGTTGTATACTGAATATGCCACATATAGCATATAGTAGTTATGTTGATACTACAGCCGTTACTTTTTCTGACTCATATTTGGTCTTATTAAAGGATATTGAGTTTTGAATTCATTACAGTTAACTATTAATAAATAAACACTTTGGTCAATGCAAATCATTATGGGCTTGGTTCTTATGGCAGAGCAAGAATTTAATTTACTCTGCTTAATGAATAGCAATTCCTCCATTGAAGTCTAGTGGAATATTGCTGTTTAGTAAACAGCATAAACAATTTCTAAGAGAATCCAGCCTTAAATCAGAACAACATTAGTAATTTCACTACATTTTACCATTAATTCATAAAAATATTAATTGTTTGGGATACAATATCCTTTTAAATTGTAGTTATTGAATAATCCGTGTTTACATGTTTCTTTATATAATATATACAGACAAAATTCTGTATATGTATGTGTGTGTGGTTGATAGGCTAATTGTGAAGATATTGGACAATATAAATCAGCCTAAATCTGGGGCAATTCTGGAGAAAATATGTCTGCAACAATCAAGATGAAAACCACTGTAGTAACTTCTTTGACTGCATCGTTGCTCCATTTTTTTTCCATTTTTGGTCATTATTACTATAGTTTCAGTATACTTATTTATATGTAGTTATTCTATTAAAAGTAATTTTGTTTTAATCTTATTTTTGTTTCTCATTAATTCCTAATGATAATTATGTACTTACTTGGTATGACATGCAGCTGGGTCCCTTTCCCAAATATAAGCTTATTGCCAGCACCGATATAACACAGTGCTCAATGTCATTACAAAAAGCTACATTTGTTGTTGTTGGTACATTTCAAGTACCAGCATATGAAGCATTCACTATAATTTTAGTGACTTTGTCATGTTAATATGTTGTCACAGTATATGTGTTCATAATTCTGTTGTACAATAAACTGTATGTTTTCACATTCACTATTAAATAAAATAAAGTATGCACACAGAAAACACACTCACTTGGTTTTACGTTGAGCTGGGTTCCTTTCCCAAATATAAACTTGTAGCTACCATCATAAGCACAGTGCTTAGCATCATTACAAAAATTCAGGGGCTAATATATGAAAGTAACACACACTTTTATCATAAAAGAAAATCACAATATAACAAGTACAAGCTAGATTATAAATGTTATCATTCAACTCTGATTTGAATTCTGTTACCAAAGACAAACCTAACACCCTCAACAGAATAGCAGTTTTCCCATTAACATCTACGACAAATATTCTATTCAAATGAAGAGATATTGGGCTTATCTCTTATAATAGAATCTACCACTCACTGGTATTTATTTTATTGACAATATGTGGATGACAGGTTCAGTTGATCCTACATACCATAAATGAACCTACTTCACAAGGTGTAGACAGTTTTAACTCCCATAGATATAAATTATTTAAAGATGGTGATCCTTGGTAACATATGGTTGGATTTTATTAACAGAGACTAATTTTCCTGTTTCGTAATTAACAGTTTTCAATTGAGGAACTGCTATCTAATAACCTGAGATCAACTTCTCTCTGGTCTCATAATCTATTAATAGAGATTTATATTTCCATGTCCAGCACTACATGGAGAAGGGCAATGTTCATGTTCTGTTGGATATCTATATTTCAACTTAGTCTTTCCGGCAGTGAATACCGCAGGGCTGCAATCAAGTTATAATCTTTTTAAAGCATCAATAATTAAAGCAGCTGGTCACGCTAATGTTCTGGGCCATTCGAATGCTAACACTGAGTAATTTTACCTTCACATTAACACACACAGACACCACAAGACACTAATTAAAAGTTATTAAGAAAGCCTTACTTGGTAAAACATGCAGTTTTGTGCCCTTCCCAAAGATTAGTTTGGAGCCTGTTCCATAATTCACACAGTACATCTCCCCATAACAAAAACCTATAGACAGTGTCCATGTACAGTCACCTGGCACCTGATAGCTGTCTGTCTATTTATCTATTGACTAATTTAGACACTTTTCCTGTAAACTGTAGTTTGAGACAGGGTATAGTATAATAAAAATAAAGCATAGTATAAGATAACATAATATTATAAAATGGAATATTATGTGCACACAGCTTGTACACACACTATACTCACTTGGTATAACAGACAGCCTGGTGCCTTCTCCAAATACAACTTTTGTGTAAGAACTAGTATCACAGTGTTTGCTCCTTCTTCAAAAAGCTATTCTGCTCTCAGAATTCAAATACGTACACATGCTAATTCAACTCACATCTGTTTTGTATACATTGTACATATACCTACATATTACAAGAAGTGACACAAAAAGAAGCACTTGACAATACTTGTTCACTAGCTTGATGTCAAAAGCAGCTGGATCCCTTTACCAAGTACTCACTTGGTATAACATACAGCCTGGTGCCTTTTCCAAACACAGGTTTGGTGTAACCACTAGTATCACAGGGTTAGCTGCCTTTTCAAAAGGTATTCAGTAGTCTAAAAGCAGATGTTATCCCCCAAGTCATCTCACTGATATATATGGTATTACTGCATGAAATATTATTGCATGTGAACACTTTTAGTGAAACTAAAACATTACAGTTAAAGGCAGCACAACCTGTAAAGAAACATGTCTGCATTAAGCATTTTCTTTAATAAACCCTAGTATTATTTCGAATGGTATTCCCAGAAGATTGTTAAGCCAATAAGCTAAAGTGAAGCTATGCTGGAATACCTACCAGGAATCACATGCAGCCTGGTCCCTCTCCCAAAAGTGAATTTATTGTAGCCAGAATTAGCACAGTACTCAAAGCCTTTACATAAACCTGTCAAGCTCCAGGTTAATCAGTGCCCACCATCCATGCCCAGTCCTTATTTTTAACCTTAATATTATGGTGAAAAATCTGAATATTAGAATATTCAGAATATTAGATCCTACTACATGCTGACATTATATTTGATATTTTTACAATTACACATACATAAACTTTAAACACCTTAAATAAATATATATATATATATATATATATATATGTTTTATTTTTTACTGCTGCTCTTTTTTTCCTTTATTGCTCAACTTTTACTTGATCTATGAAAAAAAAACAACAACATTAAATGATTGTCCCCTAGCCATCAATTATCTTTTTCCCATCAATTATCTCTTTTTTTTATGCCACAGAATCATGAACCAACCAAACATGTTTGCCATTGCACGTTTCTGTTGGTCCTTGGTTTAAGTAAATCTTGTCTTGGAGTTTGGCAATTCTATCACTCACCCAATCGGCCCAAATTCATCCAAATTGCAGTTCAGACAGAACCAAATCTCAAAGTCTACTTTAAATTATGCCTAGTGCAAAAGTTGCATAAGTCAACAGACAAATAAAGCCCTATATGGCAATTTTCTGTAGACAGGTAAATAGACAGACAGACATACAGATAGACAGACAGCTATATGATTCTCACAGTTAATCCAACACTGCATTATTTATAAAGGTCCATTAAAACACACAAAGTAGTATTTAAAAAAAAAAAAAACATTTACACAAAGGTATGTTGAGGCACTTACTTGGTAAAACCTCTACCTTTGTGCCTCTTCCAAAAAATAGTCTGACATTATCATTACACAGTAATACCAGTCTCAACAAAAAGCTCAATATCAAGCAGTCATGTGGCATGTACATTTTAGCCCTTGCTTGGACAGCCAGGCAAACTGAATTTTTGTCATTTTTATGGCCTAATGTCCATAAAGACTTATACCACATACTTCTTATCATGTTATATCAAATATCATATATTGTTTGCCCTTTTCTAATGAATAGTTTACTAAACTAGAAATTATAGAAAATTCACAAGTCAATAGTCAGTTTTAGACTAAAATAGCCAAAATTTTAAATAAATTCTCCCATTCAACTATTTAACAAGTAAAAGCTGCAATTTCATTATCAATTCATCACCGTTCTTGGTTAAGTTTATAAACCCATAATGGTTTGATTTCTTGTATTTTTTTATTATGTAAAAATTTTTACAAAATATATATTGACCACACTTTGTGCAAATCTCTACAACTTTAACACTTACAGGTAATAATACTTACTTGGCACAACTGTTAACTTTGTTCCACTTCCAAAAATGAATTTGACGTTATCATTAACACTGTGAAAAGGGCCATTACAAAAACATTCTACGGTATCTCAAGGCTACCTTTTATTCTGACATTTTGACTTCTGCCCTTTTTGGAATGTGCCTTGTGTCACAATTTATTTAGCAATCATAATTGCATTGATTTAAAATTGCAAGACACTGTGTAAGCCTTTTGTTTTGGAATGTTACATGTTGGCAAACATATATTTTAGCTAATTCCCTCTTGCATGGTGTTTAGATATTTATTGATTTATTTGGAGGGGGAGGGGGGGGGGAACTTTACCCTTATTAAAACACTTGCTCAATAAATTAGACTATTTATAAACAGTTAAAGGAAAAGTGTATTCTGAATTTAGCCTTATGTATGTTGCTTTAAATTTCATATT